CTTCTTGTCACTTTGTTTCATTGAACTTGTTACGAAAGGGCTCAAATTCAAACCAAAAACTGCTCGTTCAAACTGGTACGATTTCCTTCTTTTTATCTTTTAATATATAAACACAGTGCTGCTGTCGGGGTAATTCCTAGCAAACGTCATTACAGACCATTTTGCAGAAGTTAGTTGTCAAAGCATGCCCATTTTCTTGGGTGTTTTGTTTTCATGCTCAAATAATGGAGATAAAAATGGCTTACATTTCTGAAAAATAATTGTACCCATTTAGATAAAAAGAAAATAAACAAAGCCTAATATGCTGTTTCGTAGACTTCAAACATCACGGCTCTTGCTGTTACACACCATTTTTAACCATTTATGATCTTAAGATTGTTTTATTCATCCTCTCACTTCCACAAACCTCCACATATTTTGAGGATGTTCATATTTTTCAGAGGGAAGTTGTTTAAGATTCTGCTGGAAAACAAAACCAAGCTTTTGACTGCAGAGCATAACTTTCACACAATATCCACTTCTGAGCCAAGCTGCTTGATCAGTGAAACACCACACAGTTTCCATGAGATGCACCAGATGGGCTTTAGCCAAACGCATTACAAATATTTGCATGAGTGTGTAGTTGCTGCAGGGATCATTACTGTCACACTTCCATTACAACATTCAGTTTACTTACAAAAATCTACAATAGTTTAAATCACTCCTGCAAAAGTCTGATCATTGTTGCAAGTCTCAATTTGAGCAACCAGTTCCTTTTTAAAGTGGCCATGTGCTTTTGTATTACAGCACCTGAAGAGAAAATACTATTCATTTTTAAATTAGGAAATCCCCTCAAATCATTTGGTTCTTCTCGAGACTACAAAGCAGAACAAAACATTTAGTGCTGGATTGGGTTCAACCACTGAAACAACCAAAGGAGATGAAGTGAGAGATGCAAATTATAATTCAACTGTAAACTTAAAAATAAAAAAAAACTAAAATAAGCCAAAGGAAAGGCAAGCCACTTCTGATTATTAAAAAGCTTTATTTTTTTTAATTGGGGACCTTCTATTTTAAGAGATTCTTATTTAAATAATTCATTAAATAAGTCAAATTAATCAGACTTTAACTTGAATTTAAAAACCGCTCCAGTAATACAACTAAACAAAAAAATGAATTAAAAAAGCCAGTTGCATCTGGATAAAGTTTCATTCAGTGAAGCATCACGTTTGCTCATCTAATTGTTGCCTTAGCATTGAAACAAAGACGCTCATACACCCACAATTTAGTCAGATAAGAGGCGTCAATTATCTCCAATTACTGAGTTTGTGCAATTTGACAGAAGGACTAACGACAGAACTTTGGTCATTTTAAAACGGTTTTCCACTAATTTCCACAAGATGATCATGCTTATTCAGTTGCATTACACAGTTACTGTACGTAATGGCTCTGTAACAGAAACTACACTTCCTTAAAGACTTAAACATCCAGAGTGGAAAACCTGGATAATTCGGTAATAAACAGCTCTCGAGGAAACGGGAAAGAATCCAGGCTTGGTCTTAATGACTGATTAAATATAAAAAACAGACATGTGAGCTGAAACAGCTGCCCTCAAAATGCTGATAACTCTTAATAGTTCTATTTCCCCCCTCAAAGTTTATACGACAATAAATGTATTTAACAGTGTGTACAAATATTTGAAACTCTGGTGCAATCATGAGGTAAACATTTTATTGCACTTGGTTGAACATTTTTTTCCTTTTCAATAGAAGGAACTGGACCAAAACTGAGGAGGTCTGTGTACGGAAAAACCTTTTCCTAAAACGAAACGTAAGAATGAAGTTATTTGCTTAACATTTTAGAATTTATTTTATTTTTTTAAGAAATTGTGACTTCGTCAAGGTTGAATCTTTACAAATTTAAAGAAGTTTAGGAGGAAGAAAATGTTTGTATAGGATCAGATGAGAAAACGAGCACACGCCTTTACATTAGGAAAGTGGTCACATTAGAACACTAATAAAAAATTGATATGAAAGAGGAAATAGCGTTTGGCAATTCTAAGCAAACCCAAACACACAAGGGAAACTCTGAACCACACGTCTCACCACATAAAAGACAAGTTGTCTTTTTAAACTTGTGCATTTTTCAGAAGCCTTCCAAAGAGACACTAAATTCATACAACCTTTCTGGATGCTTCAGAGCCCCAGTGATAAACAGGACTTGTTTTTCTTTGGAAGATTACACAGGAAATCAGGAGGTGTATGTGGATGGGGGAGGTGATGGGGGTTCTTCCCAGTGTTCAGCCTCAGTTTCTCTGTAATCAGTCCATCACTGGGTGTGTCTGCATAGTTCCCACCACTAATTTCATTGCTCTCAGACAGAGTAGGACTGAGCCAAACCACAGAGTGGAGGAAATCTTGCAGGGATTGGATCATTGGAAAGGAATGACCAGAAAACACACATCTTACAGAAGCAACAAGGTGTAAAATATGCTAGATACATTTTTTTTAAGCCTGCAGTAGCATTTTATTGCCTTTTTATGTGAGGATAAAATAAAATGGATAAAGCACTATAAAGAATCGCATCAATTTGTTTGCTGTAGCAGACATGAGCACTCTGGCAACCCTCATAAAACCCACTTTGATATCTAAATGTTTTGCAAGTTAAATTTGTGCATCACTTCTTGGTGGTCAAAAAGTATCATGTAGCTAAATAAAAATAAAGGCTCGTCCACACTCTGGGATACAAACGTATTTAAATGATATAATTTTCTGATGTTCGGAGAAAGAAAAAAAAAAGCTTAGACATGTAAAGTTATTTTTTTGGTATAAATTCACAACACATCAAAGTTCGTGCTCAGTAATCCAGGTAAAAAAAAAATCCAACAAAGTTAAGTCAGGTCCTCTGGATGGTATCTTTGTTTTGGTTGAAACATTTCGTCCTTCATCCAAAGGACTTCATCAGTCCGAGGAGCCATGAAGGACGAAATATTTCACCAAAAAAAAAAAGAAGAAGAAAAGAAACCATCCAGAGAATCTGATTTAACTTTGTTGGATTTTTTACCTGGATTATCGAGCATAAACTTTGGCCATGGCTGTCTCAGAAGTCGATGGGAGAGAGGGCAGACACCAGAGACCATCTTATCACCATCAAATGGGTTGGCCCACAATGTGAGTAAGCCACTTATGGGACTGAGTTTGGTGTGGCTCCTCGGACTGATGAAGGATGAAACATAAAAAAATAATAATAATAAATTAAACAAAAAAAGATAAACCATCCAGATGACATGGCTGGACTTTGTTGGAAATTCACAACACGTTTTAAAGCAGCCAGTTTTCAGACTACTTTTGTTGCAAGGTCAGCTTCTTTAGAGATGTTCTACTCAAAACTGCTGCAACATAGTTTTTCAATATGAGCAAGCATTTAGTAAAATAGCTTGAAGGCTCACAATAAACAGTTTACTTGTCTGGTAATTTTACTCTCATGTTCCCATTGGCCTTGTCTGCAGTTCTGCCCCAGGCAGCTGCTACCAGTATCCATATTTAAGTTTTTTTTAAGTGTCTTGAATTAGCAGCAGCTTAAATTACAAAATTTCTTGCTCTCAAATACAAATATTCATAATTTGCCATCTCACAAGTGTGATTTGAAATTTAAGAAAAATATATGGGAGCAAAAGGAAGCTGTTAAACAATATTTCCATTATAGAACTTTTTGCACAAACTGTAAACCACTCATAATACGCTTCGATTTCACAGACTGGAACGGCTCAGTCCAACTACATTTATCCTTCCATGAGTCACCCTGCACCTCTGAAGAATAGTTAACCTCAATATGGAAGCTTGTGACAAGAATTCAGTGGTGGACCATCAGGGCCAGCAAAGTTTTCTCTGCTGACCTAAACACAACCAGAATCACTGACTTACATTCAAGTATATATTTTTCTATTTATTAACATTTTTCTGAAATGTCTGCTCATTTCATTTCATAGCTTTTCTCCTGGTTGAGCAGCTTCCAGTGGCAAATTTATATAGAGCTTTTATCCAACCATATTTCAACCAACATGTGTTGCTTTGGTCAAAGACATCTGCCTCGAGGACTTTAAAATCAACAGCTCAGGCCCCTGAAGCTCAAAACAAGTGACAATGAAACGACTGCTTTGACCAATCAGATGTAGAGTTGGTGACAGCAGGGTCCTCGAGCAGGCGTTCAACAACAACATTATTTTCATGACGTTTGATTGGTCGGTCAGACAACATACTTGTCGGGGCATCTGTGGCAACTTGCAAAGGCTGAATGTCAAGCGGACCTTCTCAGCCCTAATATGAATTAAAATATACGCCACGACAGACTTCACGTTCAGCATTGGCTTCCATGGTGATAGAGAGGGACTTATCGTTGAAACGGAAATGCCATGATGACCTGTATGAAGGAAAAACTGAACTCTTGAGGAAAGAAAGGAGGATGGAGTTTATGTACTGATAATGTAAACTTTTGGTGAGTAAAATGCTTTTTTTTTTTTTTTTTTCAAAATTTTGGATTTTTTTTCCACATTTTATTACTTCTATATTGATGGGTTTGGTAAATATGTTTGTGGTGCAGCTGTGGCTGCAGTTAAAAGAAATTTGAATTGTGTTTATGGGTTTCTTGCTTTAGTAATGGCAGTCACTCACACTACATGATGCGTCTATGACGCAGCATCATATTATTCCATGTTTCTGTGTATTATTGATAGTTTCTGTAGCCATGGAGTCGTGATGAAAGGATTAAGAAGTGGATAAAATCAGGCAGGACACTACTGAAGGCCTAGATGTGAAATGCACGGCACCGTCACTGCAAGAATTGAACATTTGTTAGAGAAACCAAAACAAGTCTGACTGTGTTCAGAACTTCACATAAAAAAGTAACTTAAATTGTTGCTATTGAGAGGTTTAAGTGCCTAAACCACATTACGTCTTAAACTACATTTGCGTCTAGACAAGGAAGCAATGTGTGAAGTTGAGCATTTTATTAAGGACAAACAATTACTGAAGCATTTTAACATTGATGCGAGCGCCGTCATACCGTTGGCAGTAGCAGCAGAAGCGTACAGAGTTACTGAGCTCAACGTCTGTCTGGCCATTCTCCTCCACAACAAGAAAATCTTTATGATCCTGAAGGAATTTCTGCAAGTCCGTCAGTGGGAAACCATTTCTCTGGTAGTTCTGCAAGAAGACATTACAACAGTTTTTGAAATTACAAAACTAAATCCTTCAGGCAGGAAAGGTGACTTAGATCATTTCCAACAAGTGTCCGAAAAGTTTTAGTGTAGCGCCTTGGTGCAAATGGACTTTGCAGTGATTGGCTGCTGAAAAGCAAAGTAGTTTGAGACCAAACATTAGTTCAAATAGTCTACAAGTCTTGATATTTCTGGAATACTTGAAAGTGCTCTAATAGAATTAGAGTGAAGATGTGTATAAAGCCAACAGGACTACAGTAGTCCAATACTTCACGGTTAGACTTTCGTGGACTCTCTCTTTTGCGGTTTTTCAACGATTGTCAACTTTAATATTACTCATGTGATTGGGACGGTAAAGCTAAAAAGTTAACGAAAAAAAAGTTTGATTTGATCCGAACCCGACTAAAAAAATTTGGTCCTTATTCATAGTGACTTCAGCGCTCAGTGAATGCAGAGAACCGATCAGAACTGGACCAGAACTACTTCCAGCCTCTTCAGTCAATCTGAGTGCTGCTTGCTGGCCCATGAAGCCTCTCAAGTGGGGAGGCGTTGCATGGAGGTCCGGCGTCCTGTCCGGAGCTCATCCAGACTTTTTCATTGGATTCTGGATTATTTGGATTTGATTGGGACCATTGTGTGGTTTGGTGCTGGCTCTCCGAAGGTCTGGCTCTTTCTAAAAGCATCTGGTGGTCAATGGCTACAGAGAGCTGATCAACACCAGACCAGAACCAGACCAAGGCTGGCGAGTTCCTCATAAAATTTTGCAGTAGCTACTGTGCAGTACATATACGTACTGTACGTTGTTAATTACATAAGTTTAAGAGTTTAAAACATTGCAAAAGTGTGGGAAGGGTTTATAAAGCCTTAAAATATATATAAATACTAAAATAGTGTTCCTACTTTGTGGTTTTTCCACTTGGGTGTCTGGAATGTAACCCCGGCAATAATCGAGAGACTACTGTGCAGAGGATTGGACAGTTGCAGGATAAAAATCCCGCCATGCTTTGATAAAAAAAAAAAAAAAAAACTATCAACATCTTGCAACCATCATGCAAAAATCAGTTTCACATATTTGGGATCTTAGGGCGGCTGTGGCTGAGTGGTTAGAGCAGTCGTCCTCCAATGCAAGAGTTGGGGGTTCGACTCCACCAGCCGTCCCATGCCGAAGTGTCCCTGGGCAAGACACCGAACCCCTCATTGCCTCCGATGTGTGTCCCATTGGTGTATGAATGTGATAAAGCATTGATTAGTCTCTTTAGGATGATTTGTTCAATTAGCTTTGTATAGATCTAGTAGAGTGCTGTATGAATGGGTAAATGAGGCACAGATTTTGTTGTAAAGAGCTTTGAGTGTCTTGATAAAATAGAAAGGCACTATATAAGAAGAGTAAATTTACCATTTACATATACAACACACATTAAAATATGAATAATTTAATTGTAATTGCAGATTTTTTATAACTACATTTTCAAAAGCCTACAAGGAATCAAAAAAATTACATAGGCCTACAGTACATCCTCTTTTTGAGAACGTATTGCTACAGTGCCTAAAATACAATAAAATAAAGTGCAACAGTTTTCACTTTACTCAGAATTACCTTGATGGTCTCATAGGAGTCAGTGATGAGGGCGATGAAGAGCGACAGCACCATGTAGATAAAGAGGGAGATGAAGGAGTACAGGTACGTCCGACTAAAGAGCCAAACCAAAGTGTTTGTGTCCTTCAGCTGGGCGAAGGTGGTGAACATGTCATCACCATTCAGCAACGAAAACAGGCACTCAGCAACCCGACTCAGACTCTCAAACTGAAGAGAAACAGGACGGATGTCAGTGCAAGAAAATACAACTTCTGATGCAATGAAAAAAAGAATACAATGACAGAAAACAGGCTATTTACTGTACATATTTCTACAAAAAAGTATTTACTTCTGATTTTCTGATTAATTCTTTAATCGTGATTCTGTTAAAGGTTTAATAAAATTACAAGCTCAGAATAAAAAATGTGCTCTGATTGTTTCACTTCAGTACTTAATGAAAAAACACTTGTTTCGGATCAGGTAAGGACCAATAACAGAGCAAGGATAAACACATTGCAACATGTAGCTTAAAAGAAAAAATGCATCCTCTACTTTAAAAAAATGAGGCAAGATGACTAAAGGCGAGATGCCGACAGATTAATGACCAGGGATTGATTAATAAAAAAAGACAAAAAAGAACAAAGGCATAGAAGGCTAGCAGAGAGGCTGTAAGCATGACATGTATATTATGAAAAAAAGCCACGTTCCATCAAAAATATGATAACATCTAAAACCAACATCCTTCTGCCACTCTACGAACCCAAGGCACGGCACTTGAAGACGTGTAGGAAGTCAAGTTTTAGGACGGCCTCTGTTTATTCCTTTAGTAAATACTCGGAGGACTCTGGAAGGGCTGCGGGGGACTCCCCACAGACAGCATGCTGTAAATATCCTGACTGGGTATCAATATGCAATGCTTCTCTAAGCAAAATGTGGAACTGAAACAAACTGCTGACATGTACCAAAAGCTTGTCAAATACAGGTTATTTCAACAATTAAAACAAATTTAATTACTGTGATGTCATTATTCCACATTTGTCTCCCACATATGAAAGAAACTGAATCAATTTTACAGTTTTATGAAAACTAAAAAAATAAAAAAAAGTTAGTTATGTTTCTTTCAAGGTTATCAACAACTTTAATTTGCTGCAAGTTCATATAGAGCAGCTGATTTTACAGGTTGAACAAACCAACCTCTCAATAAAATGATTTGTTTACTTGTGTTCATTAATCCAGACAAAGAGATACTAATCTGATTGTCATTTTCAAAAAACCTACAGTTATGATGACAAACCAAGATAAGAAAAACTTTTAAAATAGTCTGGTCACAGTAAAATTTGTTTGATTTAAACAAACATGCAAAAATATTGAGAATAGCCTTTTTGTTCCAAATTAGCCGTCTGCACAAATTTGACTGTGCTCTGAAATCTTTAAACAGATCTAAACTATGGATTTATAGATAAACAGACAAAGTGATTGTTTATTCTGGTGCTTTAGTATATCATGTTTTTAAGCATGGAGCATTCCTGAATCAGTCATTTCCAATGTTTTAGCTCTTCACCAATTTCTGTAAAATACATCCAGAAAATCTCATTAAGGTTCAAATATAGAAAAAAAAAAAAAAAAAAAAAAAAAAAAAAAGATAAATGCATGAAAGCAAAAGTGGAAAAGCACTGTGCTCCAGATCGTATTAATCTTGATTGCATCATTATCTAAAGATTTGGGGCTTATACATTAAATAGAACGTTATTGATGTTTGGGAACACACTGACACCTTGTGGCTACATAGTTTTACTACAGCAGATTAAAAAAAATAAAAAATCTCCATTTCAAGCTGCAACCACTTACTGAAAAAGTTGGAGTAGCAAGTGTCCATAATAACTGAAACATGACAGCTTTAATAAAATTAAAGCACATGCACATTTATACCATCAACTTTACAGGATTTTCACTCTGAGAGGCAACTGCCACAACCTTACAGTCCCCAATCTCCCTCAGGTTTCCTCTTCTACTCAGGATATATTCTACCTGCGTACTCCTTCCTCCACTCTTATAGGTCACTCTATGTTCCTCCCTCTTTTGGAAAAGATTGTTGACTACAACCATTTTTTTTTACTGTAGTTTATTGTTGTCAATGTCAACTGTTATTTTTGTCTGCACTTTATATGTTCTGTCTGGAACAGGTCCCTTTGTACTAAACAAGTCCTCATGGCTCAGTGACACTAGCCTGTATAAATAAATGTTGAATGAATGAATTTCCATTCTCTTGGCAAAATCCACCACCATCTGTCCTTCCTGGTTTCTTTCCTTGACACCAACCTACCCATCACTTCCACATCCTCCGTTTCCTTCACCAACATGTCCATTCAGGTCTGCTCCGATCACACTCTTCTCCCACGGAATACTCTCCATCACTTCATCCAGAACCTTCCAAAATTTATCTTTCTCTATGGCACTTCCAACCTGTGGAGCATAACCACTGACAACATTTAGCGTCAGACTTTCTACTTCTACTACCACACACTTCTACCTTCAGACACATGACCCTATCTGACACTCTTTTCACCCCTACTACATGTTTTGCCAACTCCTCCTTCAGGACCACTCCTACTCCTTTTTCTTTCAATTCACACCATGGTAAACTGTTTAAACCCTGCTCCAATACTGCAAGCCTTGCTGCCCTTCCACTTGGCCTTTTGGACACATAAAACATCTACCTTCCTTCTCTGCATCATGTCAGCCAGCTCTCTACCTTTGCCTGCCATTGTCCCCACATTTAGAGTTGCCACACTCAGTCCTACATTCTTGACCTTCCTCTTCTCCCTCTGTCTCCTGACACGTTTCCATCCTCATAGTCTTCGTCTAACATTAGCACAATTTCCACCGGCACCCTGTTTGTCAACAGCGCCGGTGGTGGTTGTTGTTGTTAACTCATGCCTTGACTGATCTGGTATGGTGTCGCTTAGATGAATTCGCATATTGGTTTTGGCAAAAGTGTTTTACATCAGATGCACTTCCTGACACAACCCTCACCATTTACCCGAGCTTGGGACCGGTATAAGAGATACACTGGGTTGTGCTCCCTAGTGGCTAGTTGAGTAGATGAAGTTAATAAAGTATGTTAAATCCAACAAAGTTAAGTCAGGTCCTCTGGATGTTTTTTTTTTTTTGTTGTTGAAACATGTATTATTTATGATGGATTATTGAGCATTAGTCTAAAAAAGTTAAATCTGGTCCTCTGGACATTCAAAAAAACAAAACAAAGCAAAACAACAAAAAAATGTAGAAACGTTTCATCTTTCATCTGAAAGACTTCCTCAGTCTGAGGTGCTGTATTCAGCTCAGTCTTATAAACAGCACCTTCTCAGAGTGGATCAACCAATTTTGCTGCTGACAACCAAAACCAGCTGATCACATGCTCAAGAAGGACCATCAGCCTAACAATGGATCATTAGCACACTGATGGCTGTTTACTATTCACAGAGGGCTGAGTGATACTAGCAATCACAGCATTGTAAGAGGGGGACAGTTGAACACGTAGGCCTCCACCCCTGTTTAACGATGGACGGTTTCTGATGGTCCTTCTTGAGCATGTGATCAGCTGGTTTTGGTTGTCAGCAGCAAAACTGGTTGATCCACTCTGAGAAGGTGCTATTTATAAGACTGAGCTGAATACAGCACCTCAGACTGAGGAAGTCTCTCGGATGAAAGACGAAACGTTTCTACATTTTTTTTGTTGTTTTGCTTTGTTTTGTTTTTTGAATGTCCAGAGGACCAGATTTAACTTTTTTAGATTTTTCTACCTGGATTATTGAAAATGCATCAGGATATTGAGCATTAGCTTTGATGTTTTGAACCACTTTGGCCATGGCTGCCTCAGACGAGTCGACAGGGGAGAGGGCGGCCTCCAGAAACCATCTTATCACAATCAAACTTGTTGGCCCACTATGCGAGTGTACTGCTAATGGGACGGAGTTTGTTGTGGCTCCTCGGGCTGATGAAGTCCTTTGGATGAAGGACGAAACGTTTCAACAAAAACAGAAACCGTCCAGAGGACCTGACTTAACTTTGTTGGATTTTTTTTACCTGGATTATTGAGCATGAACTTTGAAGGTGTGTTCAAGTTTTTTTCTTTTGTTGTGTAAAATTAACAGCTGCCAGATTTTGCCATTAATCCACAAAGCAACTCCAACATAAACAGAGATGACTCAGGATATTGGGAAGTTAAAATGCCGTATTTTTATACTAAAAAAATAAACGTAGGAACTTTTTCCAAGAAAACCTTTTCTGTCAAGTCAACTGAATTGAATTTTGTTCTCAGAAATGTTAAGACATTTAGAGTTCCTTCTCTCCACCTCATGGTTTCAGTAGTTCTACATGATTAAACAGAACCAGTCCATCCAAACAGAGACTTTAAAGTTGCCAGTTTGCCCACACCTCTTGCATCTCTAATTACTTGTTTTTACTGAAATGTTTAGATTGTGTTAGATGTCTTTTCACATTTATTATAGGTCTGCCTGTATTTATTGTACTGTTGTGTATCTGCAGTGTGTTGTACTGTTTTTGCACGTAATGTTCTGTGTTGCACAGTGATCCTGGAGGAACACTGCTTCGTTTCAGTATGTACTTGTACATAGCTGAAATGACAATAAAACCTCTCTGACTCTGAACACGACTCAGTGAAGCAAGTCAGCCAAGAATTATTACAACTCTTTCTGCTCTCAAGAATATAAATAATTACCTTCTCATGGTACGGCCCCAGAACGATCCACCCACAGAACGTATATCCGAGGTAGATCATGCCAGCGCAGCAGCAGAAACGCAGGACTTTAGGGAAGGCTGCTTTCATGGTTAAAATCAGAACCTGATCACACAAATATGCAAAAGTTAAATCATTTTGTACACTTGCATGAGTAAAAAGTCTCTTATTTTCTTGCAGTTTCTTTACAAAATCATGCACAACCATATGCAAAACTTGGACTCACATTGTATTTCTGGAAGTATCCCAGGTATCTGATCACACCAACCCACACCAATAATGTAGACGTTCCCAGGAAGATACTGCACACATCATAACTTGTTAGACTCTACAGGAAACAGAAATTTTAAAGAATAAATAAATCAAGAAAGGTGATGGCAGCATTAAAAAAAAATCTGACTTGATATACACTAAAGCATTCAAGTGATTTATTTTCACCATTTTGTTCATGGCTGTACAGCTTTAAATGGTTCAGTTTGTTTATGACAGACATCGACAGATTCAGTCATTTTATTCCAAAGGTCAAATGATTTTTTGGGTTCTCAGCTATTGTATGCTCCGTTTTATATAATCTTTTAATAAATAACTAGAAGTAAACACAAAAGGTAAAGCCTTCCAGTTTGCTCCACAATATAAACAATGAATAGAACATGTTCATTAGCTTGGCTACACTATTACGTGTTCAAGATGGATTTAGTGTTGGTAGAGTAAAGAAAAAAAAAAGAGATTATTCTATTTATCACAAGATTTTTTTTTTTATGTTTATTGACCCAAAATCTTTAATAACTTACAGTGTGTTCTTTATTTTAGGGTTGTTTCAGACTCAAATGGGACTTAAAAGTTTCAGTTTTTGCAGACTCTTGTGTACAGCTGTACAATGAAATGAAATTAGCAAAAAATAAGTGCAGGTTTCAGGGTTAAATTGAATGTTTTGACAAGTATAGTTCTGCTACTTCTTTCGGCTGCGCCCTTTAGGGGTCACCGAGGTGGGTCATTTTTACCCTCTTCCACCATCACACCAATTCTCTTTACTTCCTCCTAGACTACATCCATAAACTTCCTGTGGTCTTTATCTTTTCCTCCCCAGGCAGCTCCATATTTAACATTTGTCCAATATATTCACTGTCACGTGTCCAAACCATAAACAGTACATTTATTCAAAAAACCATGCCAAACCTGTGTACATGTTTACCTTTGCTTGTATTTCCATCTTCAGTACTGATCCAGTTATTGCCAACAGATCGCTGACGATGACCAGCACATACCAGCCATTCAGAAACTCCCCCTGGTCGTCCTTACACACTTTACGATTGAAGTTATCGCGAAAGAAATGTGAGAATCTCTTGGAAAAAATAAACACAAGATAGGGATTCAACTTTAATCAGTCAAGGGCAAATTCTCAGCAATGAAGCTTTGAATCTGCTATGTTAAAGAAGTTTTAAATAGTGCAGATTAGTTATTTGTCAAAAGAAAAGTGAGGAAAATGGGAGAAAAATGGGAGCAAACCTTAAAAATTTAATTTCTATTGTAATTTTTGTGCTGGTTGGAATGGTTTAGAAGAAAACAAATTGAGGAAAAATAGCTGAAAGCAGAAGAACTACAAAATAAAAGACAACAATTCTATATTTTATAATTTAGTGTAGTTGACCTGGAGCAACTTGACAGCTAGTATGATGGAACGAGCGCACAGTGCTGTTGATGTGATGCAAACCAGGACGACAAAACCATCAAACATCAGCAGATAGTGTGTGTTCTTCTGAGCTGAAACACACGGGAGAAGAAGACAAAAAAGGAGGGTCACATAAATTTATCTTTAACACAACTCCTCCACACTCCCTGCTGATACTGATATCACAAGTCAAAAAGACAACACCTTACAATCATGAAGAAGGAGAAGTCTTGGTAGCAAAATGTGCTTTGAGGAAGTGTCTTGCATTTTGTAAAACATCCATCCATCCATTATCTTTTACCCGCTTCTTCCATTTTGGGTCACGGGGGTCGCCGGTGCCCATGTCCAGCAATCACTGTGCGAGGGGCGGGGTACACCCTGGACAGGTCGCAAGTCCATCACAGGGACACACAGAGACAAACGAGACAAACAACCATTCACTCTCTCACTCACACCTAGGGACAATTTAGAGTTACCAATCAGCCTAACATGCATGTTTTTGGTCTGCGGGAGAAAACCGGAGTACCCGGAGAAAACCCACGCATGCACGGAGAGAACATGCAAACTCCACCCAGAAAGGCCCCATGACCAGGATTTGAACCAGCAACCTTCTCGCTGAGAGGCAGCAGCGCTACCAGTTGCACCACCATGCTGCCCCTTTTGCTAAACATGTTTTAACTATTTTTATCCACTTAAATAAATAAAATACTGTTTAATTACATGTGATAGAAACTAGTTGCATTCGGGACCAAAAAAATCAAACCCGTCACGGCCCCAGCTCGTAGCTATCATTTCCAAACCCCACCCAACCCGACAAATTAACAGTAATTACAGGTCAGACACACCCACCATTTTTATTAAGCTTTGACTGCTTATATGGTTATCAACGGTTGGCGGACGCGTGGCTGATTAAAAGGGAGCAGATCAGAGCTGAGGGGGTGTTTGTCCTTTCATGGCCGTCAAATCCCTGCTTCTGCCTGCATTCTGCATTATTCAGACATGGACCCTGCTCTGACATGTCGGACATTTTGGGATTTCATCTGTTTGGGTTGTCAGCCAAGGCACGTCCGCTGAGAGCAGCTGAACGTCAATTTGGGCTTTGGATGGATTGTTGGCAGTAGTCCATCTGGAGCGCAACTGAATTTTTTTTTACCTCTTTCAAGGCCGGTCAGCGCGTGGTCAAATGGCCGTGTGCTGGTGATTGTATGGCAATCCATGTTGCCATATAATTGGAACATCAGCCACACACGACCGCTGACGCAATCAAAAGCCCGACACCAGCCCGGCCCACAAATTAAGCACATTATTACGGTCCGGCCCAGTCCTAATCCGGGTCGGGTTAGGCCGAGCTCCAGGTTCGGGTTAGAAATGATAGCTCTAATAGAAAACTTTATGGTCAAAATCTAATCCACATTTTTCTTTTTTTTGTTACATTTGCTTTTAAAATTTAATTTTATCTTACCTGTTCCAGAGATCTTCCAGTCCCGGCACGCACTGCTTTCAAAATCTATGTCCAGGAATATTTTCACCTTCCCGCTGTGACACTGATTATCAAATGTAATCTGAGGGGAAAAAAATGAAAGCGATTAAAGAATACATCTACATACCCACCAAGACGTTTTATTTCCACGCTCCCATGCACTTTAATATCCAGATATGCATACGGTAACATAGAAGGAGTAGCAGTCAGGTAGCTCCCGGGATCGGACGGTCTGTAGGTTGATTCCCTTCAGCTCAAACGTTATTTTGATGTCAACAAGCCTCAAATGAAAGATGGATAAGTTATTCAAATAGGTGCTTTTAAGGTTTAAAGTCCATGTTTGTTAACCAGTAGACACAGATGAGATGGGTACCTGTAAAAGTCCATATGAAAAAAGGAGGCGTTCTGAGTTTTCCACTCGTGTGCTGTATTTGGAGCATGCGACATACAGACTGAACGGGAGGAGAGTTCGGTTCAAGTTAGAACTTTTTTGGGGGTGACAAAGCAATAGCTTGGGTGATTAGTAATGATTGAGGGGAGCTGAAAATATAAAATAAAATCTCACTCGTCTCCAGCTGGGCATCAATATCATAAGCCTCATCTGAAGGCTCCAGGCTGCTTTTTTTGTAGTACTCCTTACAGATGGTGAGGGGCTTCAGCTTCCCATCTTCATCCTCTGCATAACTGATGGGCCCCACAGAGAGCTGACCCAGCTGGCTGCACTGTAAACAAGAGGTCTCAGGTAAAACAGGGTCCCTGATGCATTTAAGATCTTCACGAGTTTATTCCACAGCAGACAGGGTTGTCACAGCATAATCAAAACAGAGGTACGTGGCTTAAAGAAATTTCTAAGCTTCTTGATGTTATGTACAGATGTTTCTATTCCGTTTGATGACAGAAATTATCCTCTTTCAGAAATAAGCTTGTTGAAACTAATCACCTTTATGTAACTAAATCAATTTGATGGTCAATGTGAGAAAGGGACACATATTTTAGCAACATTTAGTGACTAGCCTGAAAGAGAGAGCTGCAGCAGTATAGTCCAAAACATCAGCTAATACTTGAAACTGTCAAATAAGCTGCCTTTCACATGTTGTGCCCATAATTAAATTACCAGTAATAAATAAAAGATGTACCACCAAAGGAAATGCTCAGTGTTACAGTTCAACATGATGAACAGAGAACAATTACCATTGGTACATTTACTTTAAAAAAAAGGAAGAAAACAATTTTAACAAAAGCTCTGAATCTCTGGAAATAAACCAAAATTATCAACCAAAACTATGGGTTGAATCGACGTCGATTCTAGGACATCTCGCGAGTTTTAAAATTTCACGTCGACTAGTCGCAGTTACGCGATTGTGTCACGTGATCAGCGCCGGGCGCTGGCTACAAAATGGATTCTTGCAAGCAGATGGAAGGCAAGGAGCAGGCCGAGTCTTGCCAAACGGGTAGAAATTAATCAACAGTGTGGAAATATTTCACTAAATTCAAATTCAAAAATACTTTATTAATCCCAAAGGGAAATTATTTGTTGTTGTAACTCGTTATCCTTGTTTCATTAAGAGATGTTATAGATACTGAGGCTGTAGACAGGAAGGATCTCTTGTAAAGGTCCATCCCACAGCGGATCCTAAGAAACTGGCTGCAGATGCTGTCCGATCCGTCCACCCAGATTCGGCTGGCCTTTCGGTTCCCCCGGGCTGTAGGACCGCCCGAATGCCGGGCAGAACTCTTCCCAATACTATGGTGCAATGACTAGGCCTGTTGCGATAAACAATGCACGGTAAATGAAAATTATTGACCTCGTTTTCATTTATCAACTTTATCGTTTCTTCGTTTCTTTCTTTCTACTGAAGACATTGGATGACAAAAGGCTCAAGTCCGGTGCTCTTCACTGACCCCACCCCTTTCTCTTTAAAATCCATTTTAACCATCCAAAATTGCGTTTTTGGGTCATTAAAAGCAGCTAACCGAGAAGCTAAGCTACAGGCTAAGCTAACAGGCGACCTCGGGGGTGGGGGGGGGGGGGAGACGGGACTCCTTCTCATCAAAGCTCAAAAATTCACGGTTGAAACCTGTGCCTTCGTGTAAAAAGTAGCTTTTTTCTGCAAAAAGAAGCAGAGAACTTTTCTGATTTTTTAAATTAAAAGCTTTGTGTGAAAAATGCTATGCTAAAGAGCTCAAACCACACTGAGCGTCTGCCATTTTGAGAACTACAAAAAAAGGAAAGAGAGACAGCCCATGTCACGTCATGTGGCCTCCCTCCCATTTTTCTTAAAGAGACACGCTGCTCACTCCCTCACTATCCATCCTTCGGTTCAAACAGTCTTATACCATCTGGTAGTCAGAAAAGGTACTACACTCAAAACAAAATAACCAACATTTCTTCTTAAATTTGACAATATTTACTAATTATTGTCAAATTTCAAACAATATTATATTTATCGCAATATTTTCTGGGACAATTAATCGCCCAGCAAAATTTATTATCATGACAGGACTAGCAATGACAGAAAATATCCATGTATTGAGTTGCACAGACATCCAATATTAACTTTTTTGCCAATCTTGATAAAAGACAGAATGTCAGTCAATTAAAAAAAAATAATAATAATCGGTTGAATTACAGGTAACCAAAACGTGACTGTATGAGAACAGGAAGTCAGCATTGCCGTTTGAAAGAACCATATTTCTAGTGGCTATTGTGCAACCTCAAATTTATTTTTACAGTGCCCCTTGATGAGAAATATTTAGATCCCATCCACCAAGCAGGTTAATTATTACACAACTTCAGAAGAGCAGTAGTCTCTGATGGGGTCTCTTACACAGTTCTAAGTAGACTTTGACTTAGTAATGAAAGATAAAGCTGTGAAAAAAGTATTATCAGTACTTCAAGAAAAATGAAAAAGTATATACAAGAACCCCACAACTCTATTTTCCTTCTTTAAAAGGAACAAACAAAAACCTAAAAACAGCATGACTCCACTTGTCAAAGTTACCCGATCAAGAAGGTAAAACAGGCTGTCGTAGACGGCGTGCTGCGTGTAGACAGAAACACTGTAGTCGTCCTCGTCCACCCCACTGTAACCCTTCAGGAAAAGGTTTTTCAAGGCCATGGTGTTTTCCTCTTTGTAGGCAACCACCAGCTGGTTGTTGAGGCCAAACAGGATGAGCTGCAAACATTTATCGCAATTGCAAGATGACAAATTAATAAGTAATCAAATTCAATCAAGAATGTCATTGCATTTTTTGAGATTGTAATATTTTAAAATGTAAATAGGTGCTCGTATTGGAAGTAACTTGAGGTTCACAGTCTTGCTATGGACTGCATGTCATTAGAGGTAAAAAAATAAAATAAACCTTTAACCTGAGACACAGCTACCTGAGTCTTCATGTGTCTAGATTTCAAAGTCAAAAACTAAGATATTTATGGTTAAGACTTTAAACTTAAGGCTTAATATGGAAGATGAATTACAATGATTATTGTGTCCACTTATCAGAAACAATCAATGTAAAAAAAACACTCATATTTTTTTTTTTTTTTGAATTCAGGTCTTTTAGAAAATGCAACAGGGATTAGAGTCTAAAAAAACATGAGCGTTTTTCCCATAATCTATTTTCAATACACTTGCATTTATTGTGCTTGATTGTGACGTTCAAAAACAAGATATTGTTCCAGAAAGCATCTTCCAGCTAGGAATGGTTTCCAAGTCTTTCCTAACCCCACAGACAGTCCACTGCACTCACTTGTGTAGTGATCATGACGATCTTCAGAATCTGGACCCCCATTTTCCAGGGAATGTGTCGTCGGGCCCTGTACTTCTCACACGGACTCATGAAGTAATACTTCAGGTCATCTCTCAGGCTCTCCTCCTTGATGAGATCTTGAGTAATGTCAGAGCTGCAACAAAAGAGAAGCAGATGACAAACAGAAACTTGTGTACAAGTGTTGCAGATGTCAGAGATACAAGTGTGCATAAGAGTGTAGTTCATTTCTCTGTGCGTCTGTGGAGGGGGGGTAATAATGCTAAGACTGAAAATGCAGAAGTGAAAGTGTGAGAAAGCAGACATTTCATAGGAAACCGTTATTCAATGGGTGAAGAACTGCATGTACTGAACACAGAGCTACATTCAGGGTTTAAACTGGGTTCAAGTCCAAGGTTAGCTCAGTACCTGAAGGCCCCAGAAGTTTGCCCACAGTAAAAATGTCATACCAAATACTTTTATTTCAACTTGATAAACTACTTTACAGGTAAAATTGTGAAGGGTTAAACACAGGTTTGGTCTTGAAGTATCTACTGTTGCTTTGAAAATAGTTTAACTAAAAAATGAAAATAAAAACAGCATTTGTCTTTGTTTTGTTTTTACTAAAGTCCAGACAAGAGTTGCTGCGGTAAACATCAAATTCATCCTCATTTAAATTACGTTTAAGTCCTAAATTAAGGTCCAACGCAGCGAACTTACCTGACAGAATTGCTTCTATTCAAATATCGAACGAGAAGCTCCATGACTGACGACCCCCGCGGAAGATATCATTTACACGGACGTGTGTCACAGGTCGAACCGACACTTCCCCCCAGACTGCACGCTCTGCAGCTTGAGTGTGTGCACGAGGCGCCCCAACAGCCAATCAGAAGGCTCGTTTCAGGAGAACCTCAGGTGCGCAATCTGTGGCTCGAGGACGGTATGGAAGAACAAGAATGCCCCACACAAAAAAGTAAATAAATAAAATAAAATAACTAGAAAAGAATAAAAATAAGACGATACGAAAATATGCAACCAAAAAAAGTTTAAAGAAATGCAATAAAATGTTAAACGTTAGAAATATATCTTAATATATATTAATATATATATATATAATAAATATATATTAATATAATATAATATATATTTTTTTTATAATAAAATGAAATTATATACATATATATATATATATATATATATATATATATAATTATTATTTTGTGCACGTTATTACCCTAATTGTTGTTTACGTTTTTGTCTGTTTTTGTAACTTATAATCACTATTTTATTGTGTGTTCTTCTTTTGACTTTTCCCTCTTCAGTGGTTGCCACAGCGAGTCATCCTCCTCAATCTTCTTCTGCATCCTGTCCTCACTCAAATTACCTTGATGTCCTCTCTAACTGCATCCATATGTCTCCTCTTTGGCTGTCCTCAGTGCCTTTTTCCTTGCAGCTACATTTCTAATATAATTCTACCAGTATACCCACTGTCCCTCCTCTGGACATGTTCATTTCAGTCTGGCATCTCTAACTTTATCTCCCAGTTGTTCAACCTGTGCTGTACCTCTGATGATTGCATTCCTAATCTTATCCGTCACACCTGAGAACTTCAACATCTTCATTTCTGCCACTTCCAGTTCTTCCTCCTGTCTTTTAGCCAGTCCAACTGTCTCCAAGCCATACATAGCTGGTCTAACTACTTTCTTGTAAACCTCTTCTTTGACCTTTCCCTCTATTCTTTCTCAACTCATCCTTCAGGACCACCCATATTCCATTTTTCTTTCTATCCACACCATAGTAGAACATCTACCTTCCTTCTCTGCATCATGTCAGCCAGCTCTCTACCATTCCCTGCCATTGTCCCTATATTCAGTTGTCACCCTCAGTCCTACGTTCTTGACTTTCCTCTCCTTCCCGTCTTCTGATACGTTTCCCTCCTCCTAGTCTTCGACTTCATGTGTTCATTTTGACATTTAAGGTAGAATCTCACTGTGTTTATGTAGGTCACTTGTTAGCAATTAAAAATTAGGGGAAAACTGAGAGAAAATGCAAACATTTTATCATGGTCTAACCAAACTTAAACAGCTGTAAGATCATCTTTTCTGATTCATCGCTTCTCATGGTGTGGTTGTGTTCCTCCTGCAACGTATTTTCAAATTATCTCAGCTGTGTATAAATAATTTAAAAATGCTCAGATGCGCAGCAGATTAGTTCTCCCTGTGATTAAGCCACAACTCCCAGTATCTACACCTGCTGCAACAGAACATGAGAAAACCAGTCAAAAATACGGCAGTAAACTGTAAAGCTGCAGCACTAAAATCCAAAACAAAGAGATGAACAATTTAGTGCAGCTTCAAATATGAAACCTTGCCTTTGCATACCAGAAAAAGAATACAATAAACATTTTACCATACTAATAAAATAAAAATAATCACACTTTTTGATTTTACATGTTATCTTTATTGAAGTTTTGTCTTATAAATTATTTTTGTAAGTTCAAATAAACTGCTGGATTTATGAACTTCACAATTATTTTCACTGCACTCAGCTACCTGTGCAGCAATTCTTAAAAAATAATAAATTATGATTTAGATAAGTTGACTTTAGTTTCAGAATTTCAAAGCTTTCATATACAAAAATAGAAAATGTGTTTACAGCATAAATACTTTCTGTACTGTCTATTCAGTTCTCCCTTAAAAAAATTAAAGAATACAAAAATCAACAATAAAAAAATTTGTTTTAAAAATTACAAGTTGTAACTTTGATATTCTTTCACTTACAGTGAAAACAGTTTTATGAAGCCAACAAGATTTTTGTTCATTTAGAACACTTTAAAACAAAGGAAAGCACCAGAGCGACGTAAAAAAATGCCATTTTTTAAATAAGTGTCACCCAGATCCTGGTTCAGTACAGCTGCTTTGTGGGTGGTACAATGATTTGCTTTTTGTAAATCTAACCAAAAACGTCCCAAAGTGTCAACATCAACCTGAGAGAACGATCAAAGTGTCCTAAAACAGCCACAACCAGTTTACCACACAGCAGAAAATAAGTTGTACTGCTGGTCGATGACTCTACAATCTGAATTGTTCCCATTGTGGAACATTTGTAAATGTTCCTGTCAGGGATCAAAACCATTTAAAAGCAACAAACACCAACAGCATTAAACAGTGTGTCTAATCCACTGCTGCTGGATTTGTTTCCTGAACTGGAACTCCGACAGTCTCGATGGGTCTCTGTGGCACCGGAGCCATCTTTTCTTCTGCTGAGACTTCTGGATCCTGCAGAGTCAGGTGATACATGGAAATACATGAATGTTATGCAAAATAATTACTCTTTTAAATAACAAACAAATTGTACCAGCAAATATCTTCTATTCAGCGCAGGTTTTTTATAAGCTACGCAGTTTGTTTGTTTTTTGGTTGGAAACAGTTTAGTGTTTGAGGAGATGTGATGCTGGAGTTGAACCGTAAACCAACGTCTTTTTTTTAATTGAATCATAGAATAAAGTTGAACTCCACTGTGCCAATATTTTGTACTATCTAAGAAATAAACGTAAAAGGGAAACATTAAGTTCAGCGTTTGAGGTGTTGGGAAGATGGAGTTGAACAGTCAACCTTCCAAATGACAGACGAGGCCTCTTTTTAAATAGTCACAGCAGATTCACGTTAAACTCCACTGTGCTAACATTTTGTGCTTTTTAAGAAACAAACTTTAAAGCTATTCTAACAACAAAAGTAATGCAATTTTAGAAAAGTAAAAACATCCACATGCTGTGGTCACAAACACGGGTCACATCTGTCAAAACATAAAAGGTAAAATTGCTGATATACCCTCAAGAAAAAAAATTTCTAATATGATTTTACCATTTTATGCTGTAGGGACATTTTCACCATCCTAGTTGTCCTGTACAACACTGCAGCATTAAAATATTCATAGTTACTGTATGTCCCTTAAAACAACTCTCAAACATCTAACTGGATGTAGTGTGTGCATTTTAAAATGGACTCACCTGAACATTATTCTGTGGAGGCTGTCTTTCTGCTGGCCGAGGTCTGGCTGCTGCATCGTCTCTGGGTTGACTCTGAGAATGTTTCTCCTCTTTAAAAGGTTTATTCTGTTTTTCTGATGAATCTGGTTCAGTCGGTTTGTTCTTTGGCTGCGTTGTGTTTGCAGCAGCAGTCGCTCCCTCTTCCTCGTTTTGCGTCTCCTGCTGCTCTTCCGTCCCTGACTCGGCAGAGATCTCTTCCTCTGCCTCAGGACTTCTCTTACGCCGTTCATCTGTCTCATCCTCACCAAACCGAGGATCAGCATTTCCCAGTGTCTCAACACGGATGGGTGCTGGTTTTTCTCTGAACCTGTCGGGCCGTCTCTGATGAACGTTATTCCTGTCTAACCTTGCATTGTCAGCTCGGTGCATTGGGACGTGCTGTATGGCAGGTGCAGGTGCAGGTACATCCCCTCCTGCCAAGACATGATGGTCCTCGTTCCTCAGAGGAAGACGTGGTGGATGCTCCAGCTCTGGAGGAGGAGGATCCCGTCGAGGACGGCGTAGAGGAGCCATGATGCCATGCTGGAAGGCAGCTTGCACACTTCCATAAACGAGCACCTGTGAACAAGTCACACACTCAATGGTAAGGGAATACGTTACTTTGATTTATGCAAGTAAATGAGCGTAACAATTATTTTTTTATTTACCAAAATAGAGAGCACAATAGTGATGAGGACTGGGATCTGAAGGGTAACTGGTAGATCTTTGAGGAGAGCTCGAAGAAAATCACTAATCCCTTGCCCAATGTGTTTCAATGGGTCCGTGAAGAAGGTTGTGAAGGTAACTGAAATTGCCTGAACAGAAAAAACATCAAGAGCAAACCATAAATACACCAACATACCAACTTAAGAAGAATATAATGGAGACAAAAGATTCATCACAACAGTCTTGTTTAAAGGCTCAGTGCACTGATCAAAACAAGTTATTGTCTTGTCTAAAGTGCCCCGAGACAACTTTGTTGTAAATTGGCGCAATATAAATAAACTGAATTGAATTGATTTTTTAGCAGCACCTCTAGTGGTAAATAAATGAGCTTTTTATTAGTCTTGTTTATTGTTTAGGTTTTAAATTTACTTTAAATTTTTAGAAGTTTAAAAAAAAACTACCCCAATATTATTTTCATTGATACTTATTGTGAATGCAAAAAGTTATAAAATTCTTCTTCTGTGTTCTCTCTTCAGGTCACAATACAGTATGGTATAGTATCTATGCATCTACCTTATAATCATAATTTAATCTCAATGTCAGTCACTACCTGTGCAATAACCTGTCTCACCACCTGTGTAGTATATGTTAATTTTGTGCAATACATGTATATTGTGCATTTTAGCTTATATTACTACCTTGAAATACTTATTCATTCAAATTCATCCTGCTTGCACCATTAAAATTCTACCTTGTTGTTGTTGTTGTTTACCATCTCTCTTTAGGAAATTGTAAATATAATTATTTTTTCACTTCTTGGTACTTTATTTTTGTACCCTTATTGCAAGCTTTACTATTTCTTGTTTGTTTGTTCTTTGATTATTTTTTTTTTTGCGAGTCAAATCGGTTCTTCTCATCCTGAACATGTCATTGTACTGTTAACCTTGTGTTAACCTTGCATATGACAAATAAACACAACTTGAACTTCCTGGTCAGTCGACCCTAAGTACTTGAAGTCCTGTACCTTTCCAAATCTCTGCTCCTTGTAATGTTCCACGTGCCTCCCTCCCATTCACCCAAATGTACTCGGTCTTACTATGCCAGACTTTTATTCCTCTACGTTCAAGTGCATACCTCCACCTCTCCAAGCTCTCTTTCACCCGTTTCCTGTTCTCACCACAGATCACGTCTTCTGCAAACATCATAGTCCACGGGGATTTCTGCCTGACCTCATTTGTTGGTTGGTCCATCATTAGAGCAAACAAGGGAACCAGAGCTGATCATTGATGCACTCCCACCTCCACCTTGAACTATCTGTCACTCCTACAGCACATCTCACTACTGACTTGCTGTCCTCATACATGTCCTGTTGTCTCCAGTCTAACACATCTCTAACACTCCAGGTTTCCTCACTCCATAGATCCTCCCTAAGCACCCGGTGAGAGAAGAGATACATGGCCTTGTACTCCCTAGTTGTTGCAACAAATCATATTTAAACAAAACATCATTCTGCTGGGAAACATTGGGATGTAATAATTAGCTTTGTACCGTTCATAAAACAGTGTTGCAGAATAGTAAGGTCACAAAAACTTCACATGGCATCTCAACAACATTACCTTCTCCCAGCCAGACATTTTTTTCATTGTGTCCACAGTGAATGCAGTTTTAATTGCACATAATACTTGGATCTGTGACTGTACATAAAAACCAGAAAGGTGTTTTTCAGGGTATCTGCACGTTTCAGCAAGTCAAATTTAAGACTTTTTAAGACCTTTGTAATGCCATCTTGAATGAAATTTAAGACCAAAACCCATAAATACAGGTGACGTTTTGGGGATTGTGCTGTATTACAATCAATCAACCTTTATTTAGACAGGTAAATCCCATTGAGCCTCGAGGACTCATTTACAAGAGAGACCTGATTTCAACAAAGAAAGATGACAACAATGGACAACAGCAACAACAATAAGCAGTTATAAAAACTCATACTACAGTTTTTTTTTTGTTTTTTTTTTTTTAAACAAATAGGATGGCTAAAAGGAAAAAGGTAACAAAAACAAAAAAACAGCTAGATTCCAAGACAAATGTATAAAACTAAAAACAGGAACATGTCTGCATTGGTCCCTGCCAGGAGTCCAACAGATTCTTAAAGCCACTTAGAGAGGTCAAGGTCGAGAGCTTCAAATCTTTTTGTAAGATATTCCAGGAAACAGGAGCGGAGTAGGAGAAGGTCCTTTTGCCTAGTTCAGTCCTCATTGAGGGAACACTGCAGGTAATAATGTCCTGAGAGCGCACTCCGTAGCTGCACTCACGCAGAGACATGTAGGAGGAGATGTATGAAGGCAGCAGACCAAGAAGTGATTTAAAGATGAAAATGTACCAGTGAGAGAGTCTGCGTGAAGTTAATGATGTCCAGTTAACCAATGAATACAGGGTGCAGTGGTGGGTACGATAATCACAGCCAGTTATGAATCTTAGTGCACCATGATAGACAGCATCCAACATCTGCAGGGTTCTTGTAGGAACCAAGCAACCAAGCATAGCATGGGTGTCACTCAATGAGACACATTCAAGTTTAGTTTTTGCCTGTTTATTCAACATAAAGTAATATTATGTGCTCTCTGGTTTAATAGCTGCATGAACAAGTACAGTTGTTTGGTTGGAAACATCAGTCCGTCCATCCATTATCTTTAACCGCTTCTTCCTTTGTGAGTAGTGAGGGTCACTGGTGCCCATATCCAGCAGTCACCATGCGAGAGGCGAGGTACATCCTGGACAAGTCAAATGTCCATCACATGGCCACATACAGAAACAACAACCATTCACATTCTCATTGACTGGAAACATCCAACAAAAAATTACATCTACTGAATACATTCATGGCATGAGGCTTGTGTCTTAATCTCCAGTTTTGCCTTCATACACAAAGATGTCATCCAGCCAACTGTCGATAGATTTGCACCAACATAGGATTTAGTCGCATAATAGCTAGCAACCAAGCTTATATATCAACAGCTAGTAGAAAGTAGCCTGAATAGCCTCAAGTCACAGTCTGTTTGAACACAAAAACTGTATAAAACAGTAATAGTTACCTCTCAGTATGGTTTAAATATAAGCAAGCTTAGAAACATTACCTTGTTATTGCTAAAACACAGATGATAAACTACAAACACATGAAACTGACTCTCTCACAGAGAAAACTTTGTGGGTTTGGGGGAAAAATTCAAGTTAAACAGAGACACACATCTCTGCTATAATCTGGGGCACGCACAGGTTTGTCTGTTAGCGTTAATATGGTTTAATTATAAAAAAACTTAAGCAGCAGACGCAGACTTTCTCACCGTGAGACACTCTGGCAGTGCTCTCTCTCGCTCTTAGACCCGGTGTTTGGTCACGCTCGCACATGTTTGCACGATATTGACGATGCTCCCAACACATTCATGTTTAATACAAAGTTAGATTTATAGATATAAAAGTACTGAAGAGGTCGGGTTGTGGTGTAGAAGGAAGGAGGTGGGTAATGGTGTATCATTTCCGGTATCTACTCCACAGCTACAGTGAAATGGTCACGTGTAAACACATAAGCTTAACATGTAGATGTTAAATAATTTATTACATGTCACCACCTTCAGTAAGGGTAGCGGGCTGTCCTTGGAAAATAGCACTGGAAACACTACTTGGTGCTCTTACTTGCAGTCTGTCTCTGCTCTGGACCAATCATGTATCAGACGGCACAATCCGCCCTACTCCGCTCTGACTGGGTAAAACTGTGACTGGTTCTCTTCATTGGTTGAAAGTAGTGTCAGTTTAATCTCTGGATCATTATTAGATGGAGTGACTTTAATTACGTTTTTTTTTTCTCCACATTTTTACAGATGATGGAAATCCGTCCTGGCGACAGTTGCCAGGACGGATTTCCATCATCTGTAAAAATGAGGTGAGGAATCCATCCTGGCGACAAAGAACGTTAATCCCTCCTGCCCTGACAAACTTTAAGTAACGTATTTAAGACCATCTTACACATTTTTTAATGAATTTAAGACATTATGAGGCCTTAATTTTAGATACAAGAATTTAAGTGTTTTTAACGATGCACAGACACCTTGTTTTTAAAGTTGAAACAGATTTGTGTACAGCCTGAACAGGGAATCAAAGACACTTGCTAGCTTGATGACCTACCTTGGTTGGAGGTACCAGAAGGAGGGGGTTAATAAGGAGAACTTTATAGTATTCCTCACAGGGATCATCTTGAAGAGTCCAGGTAGTTCTGTACCACTCTGTGGATAAGTTCACAATTTTGTCATAAGTAAACAAATAGTACAGTTACACATACCATCTTTTGTACTGATGTTTATTAAAGCTAATAGGATTTTAATAACTGATGTTTTGAAAATAAAGGATTAAAAAGAGTTGCCTGAGCACAATGCAATTTAATGGCACTAAATAACTTATCTTTAGCATTGAGAATGAGTTTTATAAAAATTATAGTACATGCACTAGGATTAGTTACACATGAAAGAGTAAATTTTAGACCCTGTTTGCTAACAATTTTAAACAAAGTATTTTCTGTCAGTGCTGAGAGAGGAATTTTTAGAAAGAAAAGTATTTTATATTCTTTGTAAAAGACAAACTCTCAAATTTTCTAGCATCAACTCAAACTTTTTTTTTATTGCAAAAGTAAAAAATAAATAAATAAATAAATTCTGAAATGTTCTTATCAATAATTCTTAACAGTTTACCTTTAAGACTATCACTCCAGTCCATTTTCTTCACACCTGTACATTTATCATTGAAGTTTTCCATCTTCACTATCTTTTTCTGGTGCCCAGCAAAGGCAGTCTGAACAAACAGAAAAGAAATCTAATGTCTGAAAACTGAAAAGAAGATGAACCAAATGCAAGAGGACTAAAAAGACCTATTCCTTACCTGATACAGATACAACCAGTTCCAGACTATACTGACAAAGAAGCAAACAGCAAACATCCTCTTGAACTGCACAAACCAGGAAACTGTTGACCACAACTGGGTGCAGATGATGGCTGACAAGGTCAAAATAAACATCCCAATCTGGAAAAGAAGGAAGAAAATTAATCAATCATCAATCATCAAGGCTGTTTGATGTGCGTCTCTAACTATGCATGCAAACATTATTTAGGTTTTACTTTTAATACTGTGTCAAGCTCCACGCCAAAAGTGTCTTCAAAACGCCACTTCCAGGCTTCATAATCATGTGGTTTGAATTCCACCAGCATCTGACTCAGAGCATTGTCCAGAGCCCCTGTTCTCCATCTGTCTTCACCATTCAGAAGGGACTGAATCTCTGCCATGGCTTGTTTGGACAGTTTGACTTTTGCATCATAGAAGATGTCCGTGGAATCACTGGGCTGATGAGAAAATAGGAGAAGTTAAAAAAAAGGGGCAAATATGCACATTTTTGTTTCATTTACTGCATGCTGATTGAACAAACAATGTTAGATTTAGATTCTTAAAGACACTAAGATTATAAAGCTTGAAAAAAAACTACAGTAATTTAGGTGAGACCTGCATAATGATGCAGGAGAGGTTTAAAAGAGCACAATTCATCTCATAAAGCCCACCTACCACACCGATGCTCTGTATTTCCTTTAACAGTCGACTTAGGAACCTCTTGAACACTGGATTGCATGTAGGTTGCTGTGGAATGTCTGTGATCATCTTATTTTGTTTTTCAATCTGAATGAAAAGAAATAATATTTTACAAATCTCACTGGTTATTAAAATGTCTTGATCAGGAATAAATCAATCTTTCATATTTACAATGGACATGGTTGAAGGTTGACTCAATATAAAATGAGAATCTATGTCATCACTTTGATTCATTATTTGCTTGTCTTCCTTTTCTTTCAGATGTTCCTGTGTCAGGGCTCACCACAGCGAGTGATCTTCCTCCATCTTACTCTGTCCTCTGCATCTTTTACCCTCATTCAAACACTTCCTCTATGTCCTTTCTAACAACATCCATATTTCTCCTATGTCTTTATTTCTGGAAACTGCATTTCTAGCATCCTATTACCAATACACCCATTACTCTGGACATGTCCAAACCATCTCAGCCTGGTCTCTAACTTTATCTGCACGTTGTTCAACCTGTGATGTAACTCTAATGATCTCATTCCTAATCTTATCCATCCTTGCCACTCCTAAGAAGAACCTAAATATCTTCAGCTTTGCCACTTCCTGTCAATGCCACTGTCTCCCAAACCATACAACATTGGCTATGTGACCACTTGTAAACATCTCTATTGACCTTTGCTGCCACATTTATCACAGATCACTCAAATTTTTCTCTCTTACCTCTCTCACCTCTTACCACCCTTCCCATTTTCCTGGTCAGTCGACCTTAAGTACTTGAAGTCCGAGAACTTTCAGATCTCCACTCCTTGTAGCCTCACTGTTCCACCTGCCTCCCTTATTCACACACATGTACTCTGTCTTACTACGACACTTTCATTCCTCTTCTTACAAGTGCGTACCTCCACCTCTCCAAGTTCTCTTCCACCTGTTCCCTGTTCTCACCACAGATCACAACGTTCCACCGATTCTTGATGCAATCCCACCTCCATCTTGAAGCTATCCATCACTCTTACTGCACATCATCCTGCTGTCCTCATACATGTCCTGTACTAGTCTAACATACTTCTCTGACACTCCAGATTTCCTCATACAACTCCAGTTTCAGTTTTGCTTATAATCAAATACTTTAGTGCTGTGCTCGGGGTGTCATTGTTTCATTTTGTTTAATTGAATTCCCAACCCCCCACACCCCACCCCCAACCCCCAAGATATTCAGTTCAATTGCTTGACGGAAAGTTGATAAATCCATAGATCTTGTTTGTTTGTGGTTTCAGTTTAGGTTTACATTTTCCAAAGAGAATATGCTTAAACTATCCATCTGCTGCTGATAATATTCTTGGATGTAGTCAATTTTGTGAGCAGAACCACACAAATGTATGTTAACAGACACCAACCTGCTTCTGAAGTTCCGCTACGTGTTGGATGCAGGACATGAAGTCAGCCTGGTTCGGGTCTTGATTCTGCTCTCTTTTGGTTGCCACATCAGTAAAGGTCGAGGACTATAAAGCGACAAACACACCATCAGTGACACAAACGTCAAAACAATACAAATATTCCCGACAGGTTCAGTAAAAACATTAAAAGTCTGCCCACCTCAGGAGGTTTTCTCATTGTTTTGGTGCTTGAGTCATAGTTGACCATGTCATAAGGGTCAAGCCAGTCGTTGTCCATTTGTTGACATATAGCAGGCAGTAAGAAGCAGCAGAGCAGGACAGCTAGCTGCATTCTAGCCAAAATAAGCCGAACCAGAATTAACAAAAAAAGACTGGTCTGTCCAACAGCTCCACAAAACCCCACAAAAAGCAAAGTACAGTTATGGAGTATACATTTCCTTGGCACCAATTTTCTTTGGTACGTCCTTTTTTAATCAAAACATTTCGGCGTTACTATCGAAAGTAAAAATTACTACCCGTAAACGACTGTAGTCACAACCGGTCAAACACTATCAACAAAACACCGATATCAACAAAACACCGCTAACAGACGCGAAATCAGAGCCGATAAGCTAGCTACTTTACGTCAACTGGAACCTGTTTACGTGTCGAAAAGGCTCATGGGAAACATAGTTTTTCTATATGCGGCTCTTTCAAGCTTTGACCAAAACTAACATAAAACTGAATTTTATAGGACGTTATACCCACAACAAAAAATGACTAGATTTAGCAATTTTCCTGTAATTTCCTTTGCAAATATGTGGAAACTAGTACTAATAAACAAAGTCCATTATACACACTTTTACAGTATGCTTTATTCCTCCAAAGTAGGATACTGTACTCAATTTCTCCACAAAAAAACAACAAAAACCCCACATATGCCTGCACAGTTCAGTTTTTTTTTTTTTTTTTTTTTTTTGGGGGGGGGGGGGGCGGGGGTTATTGGCAAAGATAAATTTATTTCTTTATAAGAATCCAGTCTTCTGTGATGGACTTTCAACCTGGACTGGGTGTGCTGCGCCTCTCGCACTCTGGTTCCTAGATATGGGAAACCAGTGAACCCCGTGGCCCGAAAAGGAAGTGGGTAAAGACAAATCAAGATATTTTCCACTATGGAGTATGCGGTTTGTGGAAGTTTGTTGGTGGCTCCTCAGATTGAAGAAGTCCTTTGGATGAAGGACAAAATGTCTCAGCAAAACAAAAAAAGAAACCGTCCAGATGACCTGACTGAACATTGTAGGATTTTTACCTGGATTATTGAGCATGAATTGGTGTAGTCCAACTGTTTCAACGAGCAAAAGGTCGAGGTATTTCTGCAGTTATTTATTATTAAATTAAAGCTATTAAAGCTTAACTAAGCTATTAAGCTTAATTAAGCTATTAATTATTATGGTAGTGTTAATATCCATCCATCCATGGATGGATGGATATTAACACTACCATCTAAAATTCCCTACACTTTGAAAAAGAAAAAAAAAAAAACAGTTAAACTAAACTGTAAATTATGTTTCAACCACATATTTCAAAAGTACCTGGCACATACTACACGATATGTGTGAATCTCAAATGAATAACAAAACAGAAAAACTGAGAAGAAAAAAAACTTTAACCAGTTTTGAAGAAAACATTTATTCCAAAATGTGTACATTTACTATTTACAAAATGTTATAAACACATTTATTGTTGATAGGACTGAAATACAGATGATTTGCTCAGTGGAACTGCATTTTTAAAGATGTACAATACAACTAGTATTTAAAATTGACAAGTGTCCATCCACAACTTGCAGAAACTTTGATCACACTGATCTGAGACCCAAGTTGTTTTTCTTGTTTTGTTCATAGCAAAGGAGCATCACAAAGAAAGCCTCGTGTGCAACAGGGAAGATGGGAGAAGGAAAAAGCCGAATGGTAAAGTGTTATGGGTTCATTTTTATTTTCCTCTTTTGCCTTTACCACCCTGCATTCCTCCTTTACCACCCTTCATTCCTCCTTTACCACCCTTCATTCCTCCTTTACCACCCCTGGCCTGTTTTCCTTTTCCTTTCCCTCCTTTGGCGTGTTGTTCTTTCCTCTGCATTCCCCGCATGTCTTTCTTCATGCGACCATCCACCACTTTGAAGATTCCCTTGACGCCACTGGGCCGCCTCACCTTCTTGCCAGCCCCCTTTTTGGCTACTACATAGGTTACTTCTCTCTTTTCTTTTTTCACACCTGCTTTCTTGTAGATACTGACAAAATGAGAAGAAGAAAAATATATATTATTGTGATTTTATTCTTGCTGAACATCATTAAGCAAATTAATGGGAGTTTCATTCCAGTCTCAGGAAAAACGTATACCTCTTCAGTTGAGACATTTTCTCTCTTTCAGAGATGTCCACAGTATTAACAACAGCTTCTGCTTTCTTCTTGGCTTGCTCCATCTTCTTCAACATCTAAAAAGGTCCCACAGAAATCATGGATTTAACATTTGATCATTCGATGATCCAGTCATTCCAATCCAATCTTTTTGCTAAAACGACATTTATGACCCCAAATACCGTAGCGCCAACTTTATACGATCTGAACATAATAAATGAGCTTTATCCTACCCTCCTCTTCTTCCTGGCTTTGGCTTCAGCAACTCGTTTGATTGGCCGGGCGTTGATCTCTTTCCATTTCTGCTTGTACTCCTCCACCATCTCTTTAGTGACTGGCACAGGCCTCGTTCTGTGTTTGCGTTCATCATCCAGGAACCACTCGGGTACTTCCCATGGTTCATCGGAGACGGTAAACCTGTAAGAACAAACAAACAATCACCTTTCTACGCAAGTACATCATTTTTAAAGCCGCCCAGAACAACACCTCATTTTGTGTCGCCTCATTCTTATGAGGCAAAAACATTAAATAAAACATTAAATAAATACCGTATTTTTTGGACTATAAGGCGCACTTGGAATCTTTTAACTTTCTCAAAAATCAACAGTGAGCCTTATAATCTGGTGCGCCTTATGTATTAATTCTGGTTGTGCTTACTGACCTCGAACTGATTTTATGCGGTACAAGGCGCTCAAAATTCTGTCAAAAGTTTTAGTTTCGCTTAATGCGCCTTATAGTCTGAAAAATACAGTATATATACGCAGTATCAAAGTTAATCAGCATTAGTTAAGACTTTCAAAACAACGCACACAGACCTGTGGAAGGAATTGTCCACCAGGTCTCTTGCTTTTTTCTTGGATGTAGCAATCTCACAGCCTAAGGCCAAGCCTTCTGCATCCAGGATCCTTGCTTTCTTGCCTGAAGAACACAACAACACCCATTATTACAAATCATCAATAATAAGACAGCAAACCTGTACTAATGTTGAGAAGGGAAGTAATGACCTAAAGTAAATGTAACCAACAAGGAACCTAAATAAGACGGTGAGCAAAGTTTTCATGAGACTTACTGATACTTTCAACAGGAACAACCTGGAGGTCATCATCAGCATCTTTTGATGCCAAACCATCCTCTTTGGCTTGCTTCATCTTTGTAATCTCCCTGAAAAAAAAAGATCAACAGTACCTGATGCATTAGTCGTGGCTAATTATTTTGTTCAACAATAATCAACCAAAATTGAACTTCGTTCCATTAGTTATATACACTTTGGGCATAAATCACCAGAAACAGCAAATGAAGCTTTACATTTCATCGTCGCTGCTGTCTGAGTCACTGTCACTTTCCTCAGCAGCTTCCTGTGAAGGTCCTGCCTTTTCTTCATCTGGAGCAGCAGCTTGATTCACCTCTTCCTTCTCTTCCCTTTCTTCAAATTTCCTTTTTGTGCCTTTTACTAGAAAACAATCAAGTTTGTTACTTTATGCCAGACCCAGATTTAATTTGGCAACTACTTGTAAAAAAAAAAGATACAGCTTCTTTGTTAATGAAGGATGAGAGGGGGTTACCTGACTGTTTGTTCTGGAGCCATTCAGTCTGTCTGAGCTCGCCCTCTGCATCTCGTTCCAGGTCAATTTCTGAAAAGATGCCCTAAAAAAGAAATGTAGAAAATTAAAACTTTTTACCTAAATAGTCAAATCGAAAGTACATCATAACATAAAACTATCAAGAGGACATATCAGATGAAAAATGAGTTCGTTTAAAGAAAGGATGAATGAACAAACCTTGCTGAACCACAAGTTAGTCTCCCGCTCCTTCTTCTCATCTGTTCCCTCCAGTTCAACCAGCAACCCACTCTCCTGCTCATCCTCCCTCTCCTCTTCTTCCTCTGTGAATTTCACTCTGGAAAAATGCAAAGAAACATAAAGACTGACCATTTTCAAGGAAACATAAAGACTCAGAATAAAAGATGGCATATGGAGAATTTGAAATACAAGTATGACTTGTTTTTAGCTGTAAATATTAAAAATGTAAAAACATTAAAAACAGCTGCAACCATGTTTAACAACAATATTGTTGTACGCTAGAGTTAATATTAATGAAAAATCTCAAATAAATGCTAAAAACACATTTAATTCAATATTAATCTTTTGTCTTATAGAAACAACCTTGATCAAAACACGTGTGACGATATCTTAAAAACAAATTGAACAAACTTACTTCTTTGGTTTTTTCTTTTCCAGCTCTTTTTGTGTCTGTTCCACCTCTTCCAGATCATCGTCATCTAAATCTGATGCCAGGGACATTTCATCATCATCATCCCCCTCCAGGTCTGAGAGGTGAATATCATCATCTACTTCAGCCAGACTGTCGGCGACCTGCATGTCCCCCTTAGAGAGATCAGCCAACACCTGGTGGACAAAAGGTCACACCAAAGAAGTTTCAAACTAGAACAAAGTGTGCAGCCTTGTGTTGCAAATATGACTAATAACCGAGAATAGCAGTTTAAAATATTTGGTTTGACTCCATAGCTGTCCCATCCTGTACGTATGGAAAGGTTTTCACCTTTTGCTTCTTGATGGAGGATAAAGTAAACAAGGATGGGTCAGCGGAGCTGGCGATGGAGACACCAGGCAGATCCATCTTCAGCTCCACTCTCTCCCTCTGCTTTCTCTTCTCCTTCAACAGCTTCTTCTTCTTTCTGATGACGATTCAAAAGCCATGAGCACGATAAACAAGCAGCATTTACAGAAAAAATTTTAAACGTTTAACAAAGGAGTCTAGCCTTTTTAGGTCAGCCACTTCCTCAGCTTTCAGCTCAGCCAGTTTTTTATCCATTTCTTCCTCCTCATCGTCTTCTTTCTCCTCCTCCTTCTTATTCTTCTTGCCTGACTCAGCTTCTGAGTTATTCCCTTCTTCATCTGAGCTTAAACTATAAAAACAAAATGTTTTTATGTTAGTCCTGTGTGAAAGGTTCCAGTAAAAACGAGTTATAGTTCTGAGCTTGGTAAAAATGAAAGCGCACTTAATGTCCTGGTCAAGTTGTTTGGCCTCCTCCTTCAGTTTCTTTGCCAAATATTTTCTTAGCTTCGTCCTCCAGTTCAGCAGTAGGCTGCAGATGTGAGAATACAAGAGAGCACAACCGTGCAAAGTTAAGTTCAACTTTATTCAGATTCGAGCCAAATTGATATTTTACTATTCACAGAGAAAGCATTACGTTTATGCAAAGTTTTGCGTATCTGCAAAATCTAATCAATCTTTCTGAAGAATTAAAACACATTTTCAATCAGTGTGACTCAATGAATCAGAATCAAAAGAACAACTTGAGACCCGAATGATTACAACTTCAATATAAACAGTCAATCAATAAAACATAAATGTAACACGTACTATAAAAACAAAATAATTGTTTTACCGGAGTTCTTTGCGGCCAAGTACTTTGATGTCACGGCAGCACTCCTTTATCTCAGTAGTGGTGGCTGAATGAGACTCCAGGTCTGGATTATTAAAAGTGATCTGTGAGAGAGCAAACCTTGTATTTGTTGAACTTCAGACCCCAAAATAAAAGCACATCTGTAATAGATTTGAACCCTTTCCTTAAAATTATTCTCTTACAGATGATTAGAAACCCAACAGTTCTGTTTATTATGTAGAGAAAGTTTTTGACAACAACAGAAATCTCACCTCGCTAGCTTTTCCCAGAAAATCGACAGGGTTTTCAGCTTTTAAAAATTCTGTTGTGGTAAAACTGTGGAAGAGCGTCAGGTCACCGTCTGTGTATCCCTCTGCCTGGAACACAAGAACAGCTGCTTTATAGAAATAAAAAGGACCTCTGAATGAATTCACATGTCAAATAATTCAGATAAAACATCCCAAAATGTGTAAATTGACTAAGATTATAAAACTGTTTGAATGTTTTTGTTACAAAGACTGTTTCTCTGTGTACTTGCCTTTGGCTTCTTAACAGGAATCAGCTCCTTCACAGTCTTGGCCTGCACCTCCACCTCTTTGAACGCATGTTTGGGGTCAAAGAACTTGTTGTCGATTTTGTCTGGAGCAAGAAAACCTAAGAGAGACAGCAAAACCTGGCTTAGAGTTGATCTGAAGAAGTAGTCAAGAAAAGGATCTCTTCTCTTAAATCATGACAACAAATTGTTCCTCTGTAGCTGCCGTCTACCTTGACAGATGACGAAGATCTCAGCTGACTCGTTTCTTGATGCCTGCGGCTTGGTGGCCTGCACCTTCTTGAAGAACTGCTGGAAGATCCAGAGCAGCGGCTGGTAGTCCTTGGAGCGGAAAACTTTTGTGATGAAAGTTCCACCTTTGTTCAGAAACTCACAGGCCAGCTTCAAGGCCATGAGAGTCAGGTGAGCTGAGGAAAAGGACAATAATTTAGAAAATGGGCTCAAAAGAAGTCATCAGGATGAACAAAGATAAACAATGGCATGTATATATTTATTTTAAAGAAATACATGCATGTTTTACATACATCATCTCATGTTATGGTAGATTCTGTACTGACCAAATGCTCCGTTTAATGAAGTCTTTTCTTTATCTTACCCTGGGAAAAGGCGTCATGTTGCCAGTTGGTTCCCACGTTTGGGGCTCCATCATTCAAAACAACATCCACTTTCCAAGTTTGAAGCTCCTTTCGAAGAGCCTGTCCATAAAACAGTAACGATCACAAACACAAACTCCCACAATTTCACATTTTAGAATTTTTTTTTAAATATAATGAACAGTAGTTTTCTCCATGTCTAGAAAACAACTTCCATTACATTGCAGCAACATTCACACCTGTTTGCACTTCTCAGTCGTAATGTCTTCTTGAAGTGTCACCACATTGGGGATGGGCTTAATGGGGACCAGGTCAACACCTGACAGAAAGACACAATGCCTCAGATATCGCTGCATCTGCTCTATAAGCTTCAGCAAATATAGGACAATTGATTATCCACGCTGAGAACATGACACTCACCAATGATGAGACTTGAAACAGGCATAAACTTGGATGCTACTTGCAACCTGGAGGACATGTCAAATTAAAATTACATTATTCAACTCTCTTTATTTTACAAAGTGCATATTATTAATAATCTGACTGTTTGAATCCTACATCTAATATTAATTTAGGCAGGTGGCTACAGTCATGTTTTATTTCAATTTGAGTTTACCAAACAATTGGAAAATTGAGAATGAATTGTTATATAACATGTTTCTTCTTTAATATTAGTTTATTATCCTGGAATATGGAATTATAATGTGTTCAACAGTTAACCTAATTTTATACAGTTTTAGCAATCCCTACAGTTGTTTCATTGATGCAGACAACTAAATATTTTAGAAAAAGTAAAACCTCTTTTCTAATCACACAATGATTTTTCCATCATGGTTGTTGTTAACATGTTAATCTCTGTAGTAATTACATATTAATGACATGATCTTAACTATTCTTGAATTATATGCATTTACTTTTTAGACCAACTAGTAAAATATAAGGGCTGTACACGTCTGCTTTGATCTCTGGGCATATTAATGACAGATTATTCAGATTTGAGAGTTGACGATCTGCTTACCATCCTCCAGGAGCAGCACAAAGGTCGATCAGAGCTCTGGCTTTTTGTAAAAACGTGAATTTACGGTTCAGCTGGATGAGTTTAAAGGAAGAACGAGAGCGATAACCTGAAAACAAACAAACAATTAAATAAAATATGCGTCACTGCATTTCGCTAAAATCTGTTTAGCTAAAAACTCCAGCTGCTCCGGTGTTTTTGTCAAATTGAGACGCTACCTGTTTCTTTCGCCAGATGGTAAAATTTATCCTTTCTGGTCTTTCCAACCTTTAGTTTCTTCCCCATTTTTGTGCTTTTTCACGGGACCCGAACGCAGAAAAGTCACAATTAGTTCAAACTCATGAAAACAACACGTGCAAACGACTCGGCGCAGATTTATTACGTCACACTATTCTTCTTCTATTTTCAACCTTTGCTCTGTTGTTCAAGAAACATTAGTTGCGCCACCTGCTGGACACTACTCAAAATGCAAAAAAAATAATAATAATAAGGTATTCAAAGAGTAATTTTGAATTACAGTACTTAAAAGAAAATTGTTTATACGATTAATTTTTTGTCTGCTTGCTGATAAAGATCTAAACGGCTGCATTTTTTTTACACAATATGAGTCAATGTATCAGGAAAACTAATGGCGTGAACCCTTTGAAATTACACTGTCTCATGCAAAATATATTTCATGTCATATACTCTGCTATGAGCACCGTTAAGTTTATTTTAATTGAATAATTACAGCCGCAGACCTTCCCATGAAATTTCTGTAGGTGGATACATTAAAGTCACAGTATTATTTTGCAAATAAAATTGATTTTTTTTTTTTCAGATTTGTGATATTTTTCATTTTAATATTTTATTGTAAAATCTCCTATATATCTGATTTACTTGTTCCTTAATTGTAGGCACAATAAATAAGCTTAACAATCAAGCCACTTCAACTATAACATATATGAGTTACTTTAAGAAGTTTCAAATGTGGCCTTTTTTCTTAGATCAACAAACAAACCAACACTTTACTGTTATATTTCATTGCTTTATTCGTCACAGCTGCATGAACAGTGGGGTATAACAGCCTTCAGAGAAGATTACAACTATCAGAAAGGTCGGTTTCTGGACCGAGTGTTGATCAGTCCCAAAACAGAGAAGGCACTGGCTGCTGCCGTCACCATACTGATGGCCCCAATGGCCCGTGAAGCCTGTAGAGACAAGAGGGAGGACTCAGAATCATCGAAGAACAGCAGAGGTCAGATTTCAACAGCACACTTTGCTTTTCTCTTCTTTGTTTTTTACAGGTCTTTGACAGAGCGTTCCAACAGTTTGATGTAACAAGTGAACTGTGTGCATTTTGCCATGAGACACAAGCAAAACAAAGAGAGAGAAACCTGCTCAGACACCCCCTCTCCATAGCGTAGAAGTGTCACAAAGTGCTCGCAGTTGCTCCCCAGCAGGTCATAAGACACCTCCTGGTCGATGAGGGCTTGAGCTCGCTGGATGATCTCACAGACAGGCAGAGGCGTGTGGTTGTCGTCGTACTTGTTGTTGACGCGGTACGAGTCATTTCCTACCACCTCTTTCAGCAGCTGCATCCTCACCACAGCCTTTCTGCTGAAGACGGACTTCACACTGGACATGGCGGCTGCCTGGCTCTCATCTGTGCGTTAAAGAAATAAAATCAGAACCTTTCTTGTGCAACAACTCGTGGGGGGGGGGGGGGGGGGAGGACGATCAGTTTTAGATTTTTGGATCAGTGTGTTTAGGTGTCAAAGGAAAAAGAACCAAGAAAGATGTGGAGTAAGGTCACTGTGATCATATCTACTGACCAACGGGAGTTAGGTTGATGATGTAACCATCTCCCAGGTAGAGAGCCCAGTGCTGATAGGCTGGTCTGAAGATCTCGATGAGGTCACCCGGCTGGGGCTCACTGGAGGTGTCAGGAAGGTCAGGGTCACTAGAGGCCATCTAAAACAGAGAGCAAATAAAGTGGCACTTGTTTAATTTAGAAATAAATCATGTTCAAGTGCAGAAATATTGCTGTTTTAAAACTCAACTATTCAGCTTTAAACCTGATGTTATAAATTGATATAAACTGAAAGAAAGTGCTATATGTTGTCATCGTATGTTTCTATACAATGACGAAATGTGTGCTCTGCATTTCACCCATCACACATGAGATACACCCAGGTGGAGCAGTGGGCAGCTATGTAAGTGCTCGAGGAGCAGTTAGGGATTGGGTGTCTTGCTCAGGGACACAACGGCATATGTGCATGGCGGAGAGTTGAACCTGTGACTTTCTGGTCCCAAGTCAGCTGCCCTACCTCTACACCACAGTGGTACTCCAAGCTGTAAATAACTCAAATCTCCACACTGATACCTCCATTCAGCTCACTTACCGCAGAGTTTGGTCGTTGTTTATCCATCCCACATCATGCTGCCACAAATTCTGCGGAGAAAAGAGAAAAGACAGAAGCGTTTTATGTCACCTGATAAAACTACATGGATTTAAATCTATTAAGTTATAACACTTGATAAGAAAGGACAATTTTATTTCTTGTGTTCTCATCAAATTTCATCCAAAAAGCAAAATTACTGCATTTTCAATCAGAAGAGAATGCTAGAGTGGTAAAACGCCTCCCCCCCCCCCCCCCCCCCACCGCCCACACACACATTCATACAAAACACACCAGCAAACACAGACAATGCACACATACTGTAAGCTCCTGTGTCACCTGTGCTGCTACAATAGCACCATCACAATGCAGAAACCAAGAGAAAATAGTTTGAATTCATTTGATCTTAAACAGAAAACAGTCACTTCAACTGTCACTAAATGTTTTTTTTTGTTGTTTCTAGTCAGTGTCAGAGAAAATAATTAAAAGGTTAATATTTTAGTGATTTAGGTAGAGGTAAATGTTCAATTTGGATCAAAGTTAAGCTCGAGAGGGGTGAAATTTATATCCATCCAGGAGAGCATCCTATTATTAATGTATGATGACAGATGGCACAATAAATGCCAAGTATTATTTATCAAACTGTAACATGTTACAAACACAAAAGCACATTTACATGTATCATATGTGTATTTGTAGTGTTATATATCTTTAGATTCTGTTACTGTGGTCATACACTGAATATTCAAGGCAAAGGCAGAGGTAATACTTACTCAAACATCAGCAGCTTTTTCTTCCTCAACATTTTAACTCTCCATCTTAAATCCGCACAAAACCTTTTAAAAAGATCCAGAAACTAAAGAAGAATAAGATCGCTGATCCCAAGTTTTCAAAAGGACAACTAGTTTGTGAATGTCTCAAAGCCAAACAGGAGGCTGGATGTTCTGCTGCAGGTTGTTCTGTGTTCTCTGCTTCAAATGACTCTAGTGTTTGTCGCAGTTGATCAGGTCTTTGTCTGTCACACACATTCCCTAACACACACGCACACTCACACAGACACACAATCAGTCACACACACAAAGACAAAGACTATGTGAAATGTTATTTATGATTATATTAAATAAATATGTCCTTGTAATATTAATTGTATAGATTAAGGAACTCTTAAAATAAATTAAAAGAACACAAACAAACAGTAAACACGTATGAATTTAAGAAAAGGGCAATTTGATTTTTCAAGACTTGTGGTAATAATTTATCTCAGGGAAATGTCATCTTTTACTTACTTGCTCCATATACATGTATTTATTGTTAGATTTTTATTTTCTATATTGCATCTCTTTTACATTTGAATAATTTATCCTGCTGTGATAACACACTGTGACAAAAAATGTTCTTAATTTACCCCAAGGTTTAATAAGTACTTTATACTTGCGATTATTTCTATGTGGCAATTTCTTTAAGTAATTAATTAATTAATTTTTATGCAGTACAGTGCTATGTACAGTATTACCTTTTGTGCAGTTCTCCCTGTGGAGCGCCAGGTGGCGCTAATGCGCCCTTGAGTTGAATCTCAACCATCTTTACCCAAGAAGAAGAAGAAGGAGGCGGCGCAACTTGCATTTGCCGAATACAAACAGAAGGTTAACCAGACTGACAGCAGTTCGTCTAACTAACTAATATCAAGATTATCTTATTGTCATCACGGAATAATCGTGTTTTTGTTATGTGAAGTGGACTCTGATTTTATTAGGACTGTGGTAAGATAAAAACAACTCTTAGTTTTTAGTGCTAACACAGACCGCGCTGAAGCTACTAGCTTAACCTGTTAGCTTAACTTGACCGACACGTTATGTAAAAATAAATAAGTAAATGCTTATAAATAATCCCAACCTGCAGTGAAACGTTAATTATTTACACTAACCGATACCTGTCTGTACATTTTATATCTGTTTTGCGTGTTGCCTCTTGTTGCTTACGAAAACGCTTTAATTTTAACTTTAGCTCTTGAGGAAGTACATGTTCATAAGCTTAGTTTGGTTCAGTCGTGATCAACCTGTTTCCACATTATTCTTTTTTGCAGAGTGACCATTGTATGGGAACATACAGTCATGACAATCTCAAATTTCCCTTCCCTTAATTTTTACTAGCTCTTGAGGAAGTACATGTTCATAAAGCTTAGTTTAGTTCAGACGTGACCAATCTGTTTCCACATCATTATGGTTTTTCAGACTGACCATCATGGCTTCGGCCCCCCTACTAAGAAGGACAGATTCAGCTCGGGGGGAATTTTCCCCTTTGAAGCATTTCGTTGTAGCCAAGAAAAAGATCAGCGATGTGTTTGAACAACTTCTCAACTATGTGAAGGAGACCTCCGAGTTTGTAGAAGGTAAGAAGAGAGTGGGAGGAATGGTTTCTGTTTATTGAAAGGTCATCATTAAGGTAAAAACATTAAACAAGAAGTTATTAAAGTACCATCGTGTCGGAGAAGGTTTCTGTTCATGCTGTGTTTATGTTCTGGTAGACATATATGGGAACAAAGCTTTGGAGAAAATTGCCACTGAGGACCAGAAGTTGGAGATTCTGGCCTTTGCTGACAAACTGGGTGTCATTAAGGAGGTGCTTGCACGCAGACACATGAAGGTGGCCTTTTTTGGCAGGTATGTTATTCACCTCTCACCTGAAAAATGCACCCGTACATGTTATCGATACTTAATTTCAAACCGTCCTCTTCAAAATACATGTTTTTAAAAGCAGCTCTAATTAGTGATGTGTAACTCATAGTACACCTTGCTCTTATATTTTCACTTTCAGGTTCATCATAGTAACATAGCCCACTCTTAAGAGCCTCCCCTATTACCGTCCTCTGCCTTTAACTTAGTAATTCTGCCTTTCGTTTAGTTTTATGTATGCTTTATTAACATATATATATATATATACATATTTATATTTTATTAATTGTGCAAGACTTTTAATAACACTGCTACAATAAGATTCAATGGGACCACTGGAACATTTTCTTATTCAGTTTCAAGTGTGCTTGAAGAAATGGTAATTACATTTTAACTTTTCTACTGACCTTAAACCATGTGTTTAAGAAAAGAAAAGAACATTACATTTCAAACTCATGTTAGAAAAGCAGAATGTTCTTGTACATGTTCTTTATTCAGTTTGTGTCAGATACGTTTGTAACGACTAATGTGACTTTACTGATTCTTGTGTTAAAAGACACAAGTGTGCAGCTCTATGACATGTCTTTTGAGTGTTTTATTTTCTTTTAGGACTAGTAATGGTAAAAGTACAGTGATCAACGCCATGCTGAGGGATCGCGTGCTGCCCAGTGGGATTGGCCACACCACCAACTGCTTCCTGAGCGTGGAGGGTACTGATGAGGACAAGGCCTATCTTAAGACAGAGGGCTCTGAAGATGAGAAGAGCATTAAAGTAAATGTTAATTATATTGTCTATAATAGTATCTTTAAGTGTTTATCTGTTATGAGTGTTTGTCTCCCATTCATATTTTAACATGTGGAAACTTTTAAACAACTTTGGGTGTTAAGATCTTGACAATTTCCTGTGACTATATAAAACTTTTCTCAGTCAGAATATCGGGTTTAATACTTGATATTTTATTCATGCTAATGAGACTGTGGCCTTTGCTCTGTTGTCACAGTTACACAACTTGTGTATGTTGGGAAATCTGAAGGGATTGTATTGTGCCTTTTCAACATGCATTTGCACCGTAAGTTGTCAGTTGTTTAAAAAAAAAAAAAGTTTTGAAAGTAAAAATCTCTATTTTGCTGTTATTTCCTTTCTGTGGTCAGGCAAAATCCTTAATTCCCAAATGAGTAAAGTGAGCAAGTGACGAGTTCAAGGACTGTGATAGCAGATGTCTGAATAACAACGCATTGTCAGATTTTACCTTTTCACTGCAACGGACTAAACTTTGCAAGTTCTTGAACAGAATGAAAGAGCAGCTTAAAAAGTACCGTAGTCATCTGTTGTTATTGTGTGCCCTTTTAATAATTACTTCTGTATTTTCAACTCAAATTTTCCTGACGTGACTAAAATAATATCTAATGCCTTGTTACTCGTTCTTGATGGATTAAAATGTTTAACGCACTAGTGTTCTGTGTTTTGTAACATCCATGACATTGTTGTATTTATAATGCCTGTGCAGACTGTAAACCAGCTGGCTCATGCACTTCACATGGATAAAAGTCTGGACGCTGGCTGTCTCGTTCGTGTGTTCTGGCCAAAGACCAAGTGCGCTCTGCTCCGAGATGACCTGGTTCTTGTTGACAGGTGACAGTAACACCTAAACTTACATCTGGAAAAAGTTCAATCGTTTTCAAATTATTATTGTTATTATTATTATTGATGATGTGTCCGTACCAACGACTGCACGATATGTCTCTTTATTTTTAAAACGTGACGTATTTGACTTCTTCGGCCTTTTCCACTCTCCAGCCCAGGGACAGACGTGACGTCACAGCTGGACAGCTGGATTGACAAGTTTTGCCTGGACGCTGACGTCTTTGTGCTGGTAGCAAACTCGGAGTCAACCCTCATGAACACGGTAAAATCTCGCCACACAGGAAGCTCGTGTTTGACCTGTATGCTGCCCTTGTTGTTGATCTGCTTCAGAGGTTTAAGCAAATCAGATAGTTTTTAACATCATAACCTTTTTACAATTTTTCGTACAACTCTTTGAATGGTTATTACGTACCTGGGGCAGCTGTGGCTGAGTGGTTAGAGCGGTCATCCTCCAATGGGAGAGTTGGGGGTTCGATTCCACCAGCAGTCACATGCTGAGTGTCCCTGGGCAAGACACTGAACCCCTCATGGCCTCAGATGTGTGTCCCAGTGTATACATGTGATCTAAAGAACTTATTAGTCTCTGCAGATTCAGATTAGCTTTGTAGCGATGTAGTCAAGCGCTGTATGAATGTGTGTGTGGATGTAAATGAGGGCACAGATTGTGTTGTAACGTGCTTTGAGTATCTTGATTACCGTAGATAGAAAGGCGCTATATAAGTACAGTCCATTTATTCTTCAGATTTGGTTTGCAATTTCTGAATTGAGCAGACGTGAGCTTGATTAAAATTGCCTAGTCATTGTGTGGTTGGTGTTTTGAGAATAAAAGGGTGAAATAGTATAAGTGTCAGTGTTACTTTATTTATGAAAATTTGTCAGCCATTATTTCAAAAAATCTTTATTTCCTAGTGATGAGTACATTTGTCAGAGTGATTTAGAGCCTCTGTTTCATATCTTTTAACTCACATGTGTTTGTTCTTAGGGCTTTACGTGTTTGTGCTAAGGATTTTCTGACTACTTAAATGGTCAACAGTGTTAAATCTAAAGTTATGTCAGTCTTTTATGTTGACAAAAGTGGCCAGTGTGGATACATCCTGTGCTGAGCCAGTTAAGCTACATTCGTCTGTGTATTTTCTTCATTCAGAGACGGGTCACACTTCATGCAGTGTTGAGCTAAACACAGTCAGAGCACCAGCATTCAGCCTCATCTGCTAAAGTAAAAGCAAACACAGTCCTGCCTTGGCTGTCTAGTGGAAATAAAGCAAGCTTTAATTTTATAGCAAAAGATGGTCTGAATTATAACATTTAAAATAGCCATTTAGTGATTAAAATTTAAAGTTTGAGCATTTTTCTGTAGATTGATGAGAAAAATACATCAGTGTATCGGTTTCTGCTTTTTTTACACCTCAGCATCACAAAAAAGTTCAGTCGGGTCATCTGGACAGAGCCACGTTTAACTTCACAGGTTCTTACCCTTTTTAACGCCTGTTTTTTTTTTAATTTAATTTTTTAGGAAAAACACTTTTTCCATAAAGTGAATGAACGTCTCTCAAAACCGAACATCTTTATTTTGAACAATCGCTGGGATGCCTCTGCAAACGAACCAGAATACATGGATGACGTGAGTTAAATGCCCCTTCTGATTAGAAAGTTTCCAATTCGTGTGAATTAGAACATTAACATAAATCAGTACATTAAACCAAAACTGTGTGAATAGTTAAACAAAATAAAAAAATAATCTAATTTAATTTATAATACATTTTGAGAATAAATCACAGTGTTTATAATAAGTTATATTTTATTAGCTTTTTTTTTTTACTATTTACATATTATAGGCCTATTATTATATATTATTTTTTTTCCCTTTATCTTCTTTATCTTTATTTTGAATTTCCCTATTAAAAAAATCAACATTTGACCCCGTGTGTCCCTGCAGGTGAGGAAGCAGCACACAGACCGTTGTGTGAACTTTCTGGTTGATGAGCTGAAAGTTGTTGACCGCGATCAGGCACCAAACCGCATTTTCTTTGTTTCTGCTAAAGAAGTGCTCAGCTCCCGGATGCAGCGAGCGCAGGGCATGCCAGAAACAGGTGAGTTTATGAAATATAAAATATGATGTTTTTGTATATTCAGTTGGCACTGGTAACTTTACAGAACATTATATAATGTTGTGTTGTAATGAACATGGATGAAGGCGTTTTAAAAGCATGTTCTCCATTTTATGAGCATACCGTACATGTTTTGCATATGAAGTTAAGTTTGGGTCAGTGTTTAAGTTATTAAACAATATTTATATTCAGAGATCATGGTGTGACATAAGACTTCCTGTAAGCATAGTTTAATAAATAAATAATTATTGTTATGTTGTCATTTCATCTATCAGGTGGTGCCTTGGCTGAGGGTTTCCAGGAGAGACTGAAGGAGTTTCAGAGTTTTGAAAGAAGATTTGAGGTATAAAACTTCTGTCGTACTTGTTTTAAACATGTAATGACACTTTCTGATCATTTCAAAAATATATTTGAGTAGTAACAACACGTAACTGCTAGTACAGCATTTCAAAAGGTACTGAGATATGAAGAATACATTTTAAAACAAGAGCTTTAGTTCAGTTTTGAGAGAGAAAATGTACATTTCACCTTTTTCCTTCTAAACGTTCTTCTCCTTTTACAACTACACTCTAAGGCATTCTGCTTTTCTTCCAGTCAAAGCACAACAGTGAATAATATTTTTAATTAAAAAAAAAGGAATAGTCCACAATTTTCTTTGTGGTTAGCTCATAAAATTTCAAGCTGGCTTCCCCGTGGCCCCTTTAGATCAATATCTGTGCCTTTTCATCAACCTGCGTCTTCATTGCTGAAGTCTAGATTCACGCTGGTGAGGACATTCATGTCGTTTCGTTTTGCTTTAATTTGTCTTGTTTCTTTCATGTTTCAGTTTTATATTTCAGTATTTAGTTTATTTTTAATGAAACATTTTGATTTTGACCAAAGCAGACTGAAATGTGTCTATTCTGGGAAGAAATTATCAATTTGTTGTCTTCAGCTTTTTATCAACTCACTTTCAGTGTTTAAATGCATCTGAACTCTTGATGACATTTTTTTTTGTGTGTAAAATCAATTCCTAGAATTCACTAGTTTAAGCTTTGACTGTGAGGCATTCACTCTTCACTTCCACTTTTACATTAAATAAGATCATGAGCAGTTTATTTATTTTTTCTTTAGAGGCAAAAATACACAACTCTGTTTTACTCCTGATGAAATTTACAAGAGTCCAACCAGTCAGAGCAGGAAGTAATCTCAGCTAATATTTTTAGATCTTTTGTCCTTATCCTTCTCTGAAAGGTTTGTCCTTGAAAGCAGAGGTAGAAGGGAGGAAATCAAAAGTTGTGTTTATGTAAATATTCAATCCGAGTCCATCTTGTGGCCAAGTTTTGTCTTTAAACATTGACTGAGAACAGATCGGGATCAGTGTCAAAATTACATAAACCAAAAAAGGCACTTAAATCAGTTCACAGTTGCAATCAGTCACTTTCCAGAATCTATACAATGATTGCAACAGCAGAAAAATGCTAGAAATAGTTTTAAAACAAGTTTTGTTTTAGTAAATGTGAAAAGGCTGTGGCCTTCAGTGGATGAATGGACTGAGGAGACAACGGACAACCATTGCAGTGACATCTCTTAAGGCAAAAATCATTACAGTCAGTTATGGTTTTCCCCAATGAGACAATATTTTGTAGCATTATTTTGATTTTCTTTCTTGTTTGTGTTCATTTCTCATCATTTCTGAACCTTAATGTGGCTGTGCCAACACACAACTGTGACCTTACCAGTGTTGGCTGTGGGATACAAGATACACACTCTGCTGCTGTCGTTTCCCCACCTTTATTTCATTTTCTGTTCAGACAAAAGGTAGCAGGTGTCTATCTTGTCCTCTGTTTCCCCCCCCCACATAGCGTGCAAATTCACGCATGCTACAGCCGCTGCATCTGTCACAGTAACTTGTGTGTTATGGCCTCGCAGGAGTGTATCTCGCAGTCAGCAGTGAAAACAAAGTTTGAGCAGCACACAATCAGGGCCAAGCAGATCACAGAACAAGTCAAGACCATCATGGACAACATCAATATCGAGGCAGCGGAGAAGCGGTGAGCATCTTTCTGCATGTATTGTTTTGACCCCCGTGATTTTTAGTCGATTAATACTAAAAATCTTTTAGACATTTTACTCAACTGATATAGTTTTTTCTATCAATACCGTAGGGGATTTTAGAGGTAAACTAAAACCACCTGAGAAAATACATGTTTTGTTTTCCTCCCAGTTCAAAATAACATGATTAAAGTTTACAATAATTATAGAGGTGTTAGTGGATTTGTAAGTGTAGCTAACTTTTTCAGCTGCTGTTATAGTGATGTCCTGTTGGTGGGGGTTTCAGAGTGGCAGCGCTGGAGGACAGAGAGTACCAGATGGACCGGTTGGAGTTTGTCAAGAATCAGCTCAATTTGCTGATTGACGACATTAAGAAGAAGATCAAAGCCATCAGTGAGGATGTGGAGTCCAAGGTAGCTTAGACAAGTGGTGATATAAAGTTTCTCCAACTTTACTTTATGAGACTTCTGCTTAAATCTTGTGGGTTTGTTTGAAAACAGTCAAACTGAGGTCTTATTAGACCCTTCTATTTATTATATTACCTGTTAAAATGTTAACTTTGCTCAGCTTTTTGTGGCTCTTTGAAACATTTGTTTGAAGTAAAAGTATAAGAGTATACCAGAGTATAGATACATCAGAGTAAACTATATTAGCTCAAGGCTTACCATAGGAAAATTATCTTTAGTCAAAGTTGGTTGTGAATTGTCTTAAAGTGATGAACTAAAGATGTCTCATAAGAAAAGAGCAATATGTGATTTATGTATGCATCATTTTGTGTTCTGATTTGCTGCTGAAGGTGACTTTTGACCCATTTCATGCTTCATTCAGGTGTCCATGGCCATGGGAGAGGAGATCAGCCGTCTGCATGTAATTGTTGATGAGTTCCACGCTGATTTCCATCCTTCCTCTCACGTCCTCAAGCTCTACAAGTCTGTGAGTTAATCACTATCCTCAATAACTGACTGGCAACTATTATTTTAAAACAAAGCAGATGGACGCTCGTCCTGAGCCTGGTTCTGCTGGAGGTTTCTTCCTGTTAAAAGGGAGTTTTTTTTTCTTTCCACTGTTGCCCTTGTGCTTGCTCAGGATGGGAGACTACGACGCAGTGAAGATTCAACTCAATCTGCTGGCTTCCTTAGAGAACTTTACTAATTGGCTTTTATAATGTATGAATGTTTCTGTTCCCTGAGATGACTTCTGTTTTGACTTGGAGCTATAGAAATAAACTGAATTGAATTAAATCTACTATAAGAGGAGCCTTAGGACAAACCATGACTTCCTGTTTGGAAAGATGAAATGAAATATTTTCCTAGTTTTGTGCGATAAAGTGAACAGTAGCATCATAATCAGAGCTGTCTGTTCTTCTTCTTTGATTTGTTACTGTTTTAGATTGATGCCATATATTTTCTTCCCTGAGCCTGCATAAATATTCTGCTCCCTTCTTGTTGTCTTAACCAACAATCTGCTGGACAAGCTGGTGGACTGGGGTAAAGTCTGAAAACAGAATCAGAAATCATAGCTTTAGTGGATCAAACACGAGAGAAGGCCAAGTTAAATTTATCTTAATTCTACACAACAGCCAAAAAAGGGCTTGAGAAAGGGTTGTTTGTTTCCCTGACCTTTGAACCCTGTTGTTGTTGACAGGAACTACTGGTCCATGTGGAGGAGGGGATGGGAAAGAACCTGGCCTTCCGCTGCTCTAATGCCATCAACGCCTCTGTCCAGTCCTCTCAAAGCTACATGATAGGTAACTAACGAAGATGATAAGTATTGTCCTAGCTGTGTCAATATAAGTAATGGGTAATGTATATTTTTAAGACCTTTGACTCCAATGTTCAGAGACTGATTAAATCTAGTCAGAAGGTTCTAATCACTCATCTGTGATCTACTTTATTTACCTTCATTGCTGAATGTCAACATCTTGTGCCTCAATATGCTACTAATGTGTCACTGTGTCAGACACCTTTGTAACTTCTTGGTGACATTAATGTACCATTAACTATTGGTAAAGTGTTAATGGCCCTCTAATAAAAAAAAACTTGAGAGGATGTTAAGAAACTGAGTTGTGACGTTGAATTGTTAGGGAGTTGGTGAAGAAATAGTTATATATAAATACAGTTTTTTGCTTTTGTGACCTTGAAGCTTATGAATCAGTGCGGTCTCAAAACATAAATGGCTCTAAATGTTCTACGATTTAGTGGATTTCTCTTTTTCATGTTGTATTTTTCTTGCTTTTCAGAGAGCATGCTGCCTCTGCTTCCCTCTGCTGCCCAGAGCCAAGTCAACATGCTGGTTCCCAACAGGACCTTTGACCTGAGCTACGACCTAAACTGCGCCATCCTTTGCAGCGACTTCCAGGAAAACATTGAGTTTCAGTTTTCGTTGGGCTGGAAAGCTTTAGTTCACCGCTACCTGGGATCTGCTAATGCACAGAGGGCCCTGAGTCTGGTGAACCAGAACTTACAGGTATCTTCTAAAGAGGACTAAAGGTCATTCATGATGCAATTTGTAAGATCAGAACTGATTGGTTTGTTTAAAATAAATGGCAATGTTTCTGAAAAACACTACTCATCATTACAGACTTCTCAAGCAGCATTGCCTCTGGCTCAAACTCCCTCATCTGGACCCCCATCCATCGCAGCTCCGCCTAGCAACGAGAGAGCCCTCATGACTCAGGAAGATCTGATGGTAGCCATGGCAACCAACGTGGCATCCCTCACTTCCCGTGCTTCAATGACCGTTATTATTGTTGGAGGAGTGGTATGTTTTTCTCCAAATTGTTTGTATTCGCAGCAACATGTTTCTCCAAGGTTTAAATTAACATGTAAATGTTTTCAAATGGATTCTGTGAAGATCGTAGCAAGCTTTAATTTATAAAACTTGATTAATATATGACCTTGCTGAACAGCTACAATAGTAATATCTGTTTGAATGTAAGTAGCATAAATCTAGAAATCTTTCTAAAATTAGATTATTCGTACCAAGAGAAATAATGAACTGCCTCAGTGTTCATCCTTCCCTTCATTTTTCTGTTTTATTAGTTTAGTCTAAAATGTCAGATTATTTTGTAAACTTCTGAAAGTAAAAGGTAGAAAAATGAACCCAACTTCTGGGTTGAGTTGGTGTTCCATTAACAGGCTAGGAGTTATTTTTGCTGCAAAACTCTATTAGTATAATTTTATCCGGTACAGAAAACCTTTTTTAATGCTTAAAGTTTTTAATGTCCTGCTTTAACTTTTTGTCTTTTTATTTTTCAAAGGTGTGGAAAACGGTTGGCTGGAGGCTCATTGTCCTGTCGGCCTCTCTTTATGGCCTGCTGTACCTGTACGAGAGACTCACCTGGACCACAAAAGCTAAGGAGCGTGCTTTGAAGCGCCAATTTGTAAATTATGCCACCGAGAAACTACAGCTCATCGTCAGCTTTACTAGTGCAAACTGTAGTCACCAGGTCCAACAGTAAGTCCTCATAAGATTTTTGGAAACATGAATTCAGTTCAGTTTCAGGGCTGCTTAAATCACATAATTCAAAATATTATGGATTTTAGATTACTTAACAGATTTATTTTTTTAATTTTTTTATACAAAGATGACTGCTTATTGTGAAGTTAATGGAGAAACTTTTTGTTGTTGCATTTTGTCCCTCCCACCATTCCTGATTTGCACACACTTTTCCCTGTCTGAGTTAAATAAATAAGCAGCACAATTCTGTGTTCCCAGGGAGATGGCCACGACCTTTGCTCGGCTCTGTCAGCAGGTGGACCAGACGCAGAAAGAGCTGGAGGCAGACATCCATCAACTGACAGCCAAGATAAATCAGCTGGAGGCCGTCCAGAATCACTCGAAGAGCCTGCGGTGAGTCCGGCTCATTTGGAACAATAAAGAACAGACACGATCCAATGTGGGGAAATTAATATCAAATCTCTTATGTCAATTAATTGCAAGCTCAGTTTTGATGCTTTTTTCCCCTGCTTGGATGCTAGAAGGAAAATAAATGCAGCCCATATACGCAGACGTTTCACTTTGTCCCTAAACTCAAACCAGGTTCTGATAAGCTGTTGGGGTCACTAAGATTTGATGTTTGTTTTTTGTGCAGGCATAAAGCCACAGAGCTGGAGAAACAGTTGGAGGAATTCACACACCAGTACCTGCAGCCTCAGGAGTGAAGACACTCCTCTTCATCGCTCCACAGTTTGGCTCTTATGGAGCCGTCTCTATAAACCGTCAACCAGTAGGTGATGGCCCTGGAAGTTTCAGAAATAACTTCAACAAATGAAAAACAATTTTATAAGGTTTCCTAATCTATTAAGTGTCAGGGCCCTTATCAAGCAAAAGGGCCTAAAATGTCTATTCTATTGTTTCATTTGTAACAAAATAATTTTTGTTTTCATGCCTGAAATTTCTTTTGGAATATTTTGTTCACTTCCCCAGAAACTATTTTCCTCTCATTATTCAATCAGCCCTAACCTACAGCTCAAAGTTGCAGTGAAGACACTTTAAACACAATAATCTGAAATTGTGCTGCACAAGGGGAGAAATTTGTCAAAATACTGGATGCTGTTGACACTAAATTTACTGTAACCTAAAATGTGAACGCATTTTTTTTTTTTAACTTTGTGGAGCAAATGAAGGGGTGGTGAGATTACAGCCATTTTTGCTCAGACATGATTAAATGTTAAAGATCAATACATTATTTAAAGTATAGGAAACTAAGAACAGGAAGCATGTTTTAAATACTGTAGTCTGAGTAATATTTTCAAACTAAATCTTCAGATATTTTATATTTTATTTATACATAAAATGGGTATCGCCTTGTATTACATTTTGTATTCCTGTGTTTTGTTTTTCTTTTAATCTGTGCTAAAATACTTCCTAGATTTGCTGGAATGTAATAAACTAATCTAAAGACGTTTTAAAGTTAGTTTTTTTTTTTTTTTATTTCTGTCGATTTAAGGCTGTTGTCTGCATTCGTCAGTGGGAAATTCAATGAAGTGTCATGCTTTATCAAACCAATGTTTCAGCCCTTAATCTTATACACCCCCCACCCCCCAAATTGCAATAATCAGCATAAAAAAAACGGAACTGCATTGGGTCATGAACTGCTTATGGACTTTAAAAAAATTTTTTGTTGAAACGAAATAGAACATTTCTTGCTTTTTTGTATGTGAAAGAATTAAACCTTTAGAATGCCTAGCTTTAATAGGAGGAGCTAACAAGAGGATGTAAAAGTATTCATAATGGGGCTTTAACACTATAATGCTTCTAAACTACACAGATTTCTCACAAACTACTGTGCACTTCTATTTTGAAAGCTCTAATGGTAACTTTGTTTTCTTAACAAATTAAACTGTCATTCACCTTTCACCACATGCTGGAATGATACTTGGAGCTCAACTCCAGGCAAAAACTTGCTTTAATTTCACACTGAAGAAAATTACTATACTGTACATACAAGGAGGAGTTCTGAATATAATTTAACAAAATTAACCAGCTTTACCTTGATTAAAAGCTTTCTTTATTGGTTACAATAACTCATGGCAACATATCAGTATCACCAAGCCACTGTACAAATACAAAAAAACAAAAGAAAAAACAAAGGTTTGGTGTGAAAAAGACTATAAAAATTATTTTATAACAAGTGATTATAATTTCACACAATAGCACTGTAAGAATTATCATGGCACCAAGTCGTCACTGTTTGATGGCTTAAAACAAAGCAATAAATGATAAAGAATCTAATCCATATAAAAGAAAAAAGGTGAATAGCGAGTTGTGTAGTCGAAGAGCAGTGCAGTTCTGTGATGGGTGTTCATGTGGTGCAACCTAATCAAAAACCTCGAGAGTCATTCACACTGAAGAAGATGGTCGACCAAATTACCACTAAATACTGACTGAACTCACGCAGCGGATCACAACAAATCAACTCGGGTCAAAACTGCAGCAAACGAGGAAAAGTGACTAACAGAAGTGAGATTCAAGCTCTGGTCCTTACGAGGACAGTTCTACAGCAGAGAAATAAACTCGTCTGACGAAGCAACGATGTAAAAGTCTAATGAAGTCGAGCACCGTTTTTAATTTGTAGGTTTACCGTTTCACTTTGCATGAGTGAACTGCACAGGCACGGGTTTCTATTCCAGCTGCTAATACTGCCGTTGTACAGAGACAAAATGTTCGCCTGCTGGATGTCACCGTCTAATGTGGAGAACCCATCCTTGCTTCGGCTCTTAAGGACCATGGTGTTTTGTAATTAGTTTCACACAGTTCCTTATGAAATATGGAAGCAACGACTAGGAAACGTGAATGAAGCAGTTCAACATTCAGGGAAGCAGATAATTTTCTGATGAGAAGACAACTATTAATACTCAACACCAAACAATGCTACTTCTGCTCGGTAGTGTTGCACCACATTCTGAGGGGCTGTTGCATTGCCAAGACTCCAGTCAATTTATAACCAAGTTAAGACAAATACTTGTAAATATTCATTCACATGCAACAGATTTTTGCAGACATCAAGATCGTGATTTGATTCAGTGTAATGTGAATCTGAGCATGTGTCTACCAATAAAAACCACCAACCAAACATGATGATGCAGCATAAATTAGGAAAGGACAGTTCCTTTTTGGTGCAGATCTGCACTGGTTTCATTTGAACAGATGTGCACTGGCCTTAACATAACCCTACACTTCTGAGTATTTAGCCTCTATAGGAGCAAAAAACACTTATTTTTTATTACTTAAAGCAGGTTCTTTTCCATTTAATTCTGTACATGAACTTATGAATTTAACACTTATTTTTTACTTGAAAGAGTAGAACTAACTGGTAAGTCCTGCTTTTCTCCACATTTGAAGCATAGAGTCTAATCCTCTGACTAGAACCTGGAAGTTGAAGCCAGAATGAGACTGGCTTCTCTGTAAACTGGTTCCAGTACACGTTTTAAATCGAGCTCCCTCCACATAAACAAATGGATTTTGTTCTGGTCTTCCTAATAACTGGAGCACCTGTGCACTCCTGAACTTGTCATTTTGGTTAGACTGACAAAGATAATCCAAAATGTTTAAGAGACTGATAAACTGGGAGTTAAACTAAACCATCAAAGCGATTTGAAGAGAATTATCCAGTCAGGAAAATACTGAATTTCCTGTTTTAATGGAAAGAAAAAGATGGAGTTACACTGTAAACATAAAATGCAAAAGCTATGCAATAGCTCCTCCTAAATTTTATATAGGCCAGAGTATGATGCAAGACTATTTGATATTTGAAACTCAACGTTTCTTCAGGCATGGAGAAGTTAGAAAAACATTTCCCCAAATGATGCGCTGTTTCTTTAAATCCAAGCTGCCAGGACATCGTTTCGTCATCTGTATTTGACACATGCACATCCGATGTACACAAACTGAAATAGAAACTGGAGTCTAACGAGTACCGTCACCGTAACAACACTGTGGAGTCCAAAAAATCATTATCAGACGTAAGCAGCCGACCTGCGTGACCAGGCAACAGCTTGGGTTTAAAAAGAGACACTGATGTAACCATTTGATGAAGATTGGCACTTGAGTAATGCAATCAAATGTTTCCTCCCCCACTATTTATTTTTTTGGTTATAAAGGACTAGTTTTCGGTTCACAGCTCAGGGTTTGTGGATAACATTGGCACAAATTAGGAAGTAACACTTAGATCTATACGTTATCCACATACACCACCCAAATCCTTCCCCATCCTCCCCAAACACACACACGCAACATCACATCCTACACACCTCCAAGACGTCGCCGCTCTAAAAACCCCAACTGGTTTCAGGCTTTCTCACAGGACTGATTTGTTGAATCGAAGCAAAATGGAAGCAGGCAAAACATTTTTCAAAAGTCCACGAGAATCACGGTAAACCAAAGAGTTTCGTCGACAACCAACTAAACTTTCAGAGGAACTACAAACACCACGGTAGGAGTAGAAAGAGTTTGTATATTAAAAAGTGACGTTTTAAGGAGCAGTGCAGAGCTGCATGTGGCTGCTGTGAGTTTCTATCTGCATGCGTCTTAGTGTTCTCGCATCACAACGTGCTTCTGTTGGGGGGGTGGGGAGGCAGAACGTTTTAACTGGTTAATTAGTAAAAAAAAAAAAAAAAAAAAGAAGGAATTAAGTAAAACATTTATGTTGTCGACGTTTGGATTACCTTTTAATACAAATGGCATTCTAAGGCAGAAACGGATAAACCAGTGCCACTTCTCTGCTTTATCCAGCCCACGAGGCCGTAAAGTTCAGATAGGCACCTTAGACATTTGATGCTTAGGTCCACTTCACACACACACACACACACATTGTGCGTGTGGTTCTTTTTTGATTTAAATACAACTTTCTGAGAAGCCAAAACAATGCAAGATGAACGATAATGAAATCCAACCTGGCAACATTACTTCTATAAGTAAACAAGTCACGATGGTTTGAACAACTTCTTGTGTTTCTAGCTCTTTACTAGGTGTTCGTCTCAATATACCGACTTTACTTTCTTCACAAGTTCTATTAAAATCCTTGATGTGTTTTTGGTGAGGAACAAGAAAGGTCAAAGTGTCATCTCTTCAGAACTTCTTGTTGGTTTTCTTCCTTTTCCAACAGGCTTGTGGCGGCACTGGAGTGACTTTAAAGTGGCTAACATTTCAGTTCTGTGCAGTCACTATTCACACCACTGTCAAGAACGAACGAGGACTCTGATCCTTCAGTTAGGAAAAATAATGAAAATGTTATGACACGGTGCGCTCAAATATCTTTTTTCATCCTCAGATGCTGCTGACAAGAGTTCTTTATGGTCCCGAGATGAAGCTTCTTTAAAATCCTCTCGTGCCGTCCAGCTTTTGTCCTTACGGGGCCTCCAGTGTCCCAGGACCAGAGGGACAGACTGGTCCCTGCTTGCGTTTGCGTGGCCCTTCGCTATACGGTTTCATCGTAGAGCAACCTTAGACGCTCGTCTCATTTTAAAGGAATAATGAATCTTCTGCAGGCTATGTGAGGTAGGGATGTAATGACCTCTGTTCACCAGTCACAACACTCTGCAGCAGATTTGATTGGAATGGATGCGAGCCTCAAGCTTTCAGCATTCGGATGATTTTAAGAACAGTCCAGACGAGCAGAGGTCAAATCAAGGTCTTATCCGTTTTCTATCTTAGCCCAAGTTGACAGTTTCTACTTTGGAGTTAAAGCTTAATCCAGAAACTGGAAAAAGACACCTGTTAAGTTTGATCATAGCAGTTTCAAAATAAAATTTGGGTGAAAAAAATAGGGGTCATAATGTTAAAAAAAAAAAAAAAAAGACCAAACTAACATCTTTGTGAAGTCAGTTTAAAAAATAGAAAGCACAAAATGCCTGTATTTCTACTCACTGCCTCGTAATACACTTGTACAAATGATAAAAGTTTAGTCTGAATTATATTACTAATTTATATGCCAAATATTCTGAATCCAACAGACTTATTTAGGAAGTAAAAAAAAAAAAATCAGACTTAGGTGATTCTATGCGCAATCTAATGGGATAAAATAAATATTTTTGGCATTAAGTGGTAATGTGAGTGTGTCTATAATAAAACATCAAAAAATGATTAAAAGCAACAAAAAGGTGGTAAACTATAAAAATATATACATACACATTATATATGCATATATGATGCATATATACACACATAATGCTATACATATATACTGTCTTTACATACACATTTACATATTACATACTGATGCTAATCTTGCTCGTTACTCATGGCAGCAGATGCACTTTAATGCCCCTAGAAAAGAATCAGGTAAAGCCAGAAATCCTCTACTTTTATCTTTTTTTTAACACTTTCTTTACTTCTGACTGGACAATATTACAAAAGAAAAAGAAAAAAAAAAGTTTTGTTGCTGTGTAATGGCTGGGTGAAAAAACAGACCCTTTAGGTAGAAAGTTTTCCCACTGAGAGGAGGCGTGGAAAAAAGGTTTCAGCTGACGATGTGCACTCCTCAGGTCCAGCCCGCCAGATGGTTTTGGATCTGTAGAGAGGGGGCTGTGGGACAGAGGTGGTGGGCAGTGACTGAATACATCAGGCGAAACGTTTTAGTTCCAAATCCGGAGGAAACTGTCCCAGGACCCGGTAGCCACAGCCATGCCGTCATTTGTCACTCCTAAGCAGCTCACTCTGTTGTCGTGGCCTGCTAGCACTCCTGAAAGGGAAGGAGATAAACCAGAGTCACAGGCTGGCCACAAAAATATCCACGTAAAGGTCAAAGTCAAGAGTTAATCTGCGCTTTGTTTTGAATTATCAGATCTCAGAACAAGAATTTGTTATGCAGGCTGTAAGGTTTTATTTTGGCTTGCTCTCCGCTATTTGAAATATATTCTGTTTATTTCTTTAATGAAGAAAAATGCATCAAACTGGTCAAATTTACAGCTAAAAAAAAGTTATTTGTTTTGAAGTTACTGTCAAGTTATGGTCATTATCAAAGCGCTCCAAATTGAAACAATTAGGACAAATACATAAATGCATAGAAAAACAAAAACATGAACCATCACAATCAAATTTTGTTTTTGTTTTTTTTTCCCCTATGGAGATAAGTGAACCCATATTCAGACGTCATACCTGCCCGCTCCCCTTTCAGAGTGTCCCAAACGTTGCAGTTGAAGTCGTCGTATCCAGCCAACAGCAGGCGTCCGCTCTTGGAGAAGGCCACGGAAGTGATGCCACAGATGATGTTGTCGTGGCTGTACATCATCAGCTCCTGGTCGGCACGCAGGTCAAACAGCCTGCAGGTGGCGTCATCCGAGCCTGTGCCAAATGCATTCCCATTGGGGAAGAACTGGAGGAGAGAAAAGCAATGATTTAAGCCAGGGGTCTGCAGCCTTTATGATGAAAAGAGCCATTTTTACGCCTTTGTTCACTACATTAAACGTGTATGGAGCCACAACAACTGGTTATCAACTGGTGGCCCGTGGGCCACTTTAGGTTTGCTGGAGGCAGCTTTTGTAGCCAGTAGGGGTGACATTATAAAGCAAAAAAAAAAAAAAAAAAAAATCTAATGATTTTTAACATTTATTAAAGTAAAAGGGGGGAAATTTAGTTTTTACCATATTTTTAATAAATAAAAAAAAATCTATAAACTATGCAGACAGTTCTTTATTGAAAGAAATAAAGCATCAAGTTAAAGAATGTTTTACTCCTTGTTCTCCAGTGTTCACATATTTGCAAAAGAAATTAAAGGAAAACAGATAAAATTAGTTCTTATCTTGGTTGCATAATCAATAAAATTCAGTTTTGTCAGTTTTGACAAAAGCTTGAAAGAGCTGCTGCAAAAGGACCAAAGGGCCACATGTGGCTCTAGAGCCGCAGGTTACAGACCCGTGATTGAAGCAATTATTTAATTGATTTAAGCTTTTAGTTCCCCTCCTCGCTGCGGTCTGTTTCGCTACTTACACAGACGGCGTTGATGTCAGACACGTGTCCGGTGAACGATTGCCTGCACATGCCATCACGGATGTCCCACAGTTTGGAGGTGGCATCACAAGCTCCTGACACAAAGGTCTTATAATCTGGACTAAGAGACAAGCTCATCACATCACCTGTGTGGCCAGTGAAGGCAGTTGCCTGCTGGCCTGTCTCTATGTCCCACAATGCACTGCGAGAGAGAAAAGCAAAGTAGGGAAAATGGTTCCATGAGACACAGTTCGGGCCCAAACAAACGCTCAATACAAACTAAAATAGTATGACCAATCCCAGCTATTAGCAACAATAAAAAAAATTGACAGCCCATAATTATCTGGAGAAAAAATAATAATCTCATGAGCAAACTGTTGATGGCTCCTGACAGAAAGTTACGATGTTTAAACTGATGGCTGCTCACCAGGTGGTGTCTCCAGAGCTGGTTAGGATCTGGCTGTCATCCAAGAACCGACAGCAGGACAAATAACCTGAGAATAAACAAAAGACACATTTGATGAGGAGACAGAGTCTCTTCCTTCGCAGCGGCCTCGAGTGCCAACCTTAAAAACTCTGAATATATACTGTAACATACAGTAAATCAAGTTTAACAGCCGTTGTAAGCTGAAAAGAAAATTTAAATTTCAGTATTGTGTATTAAAAAAGTAAAAACAAGCTGTAATGCAATCAACTAAAAATATATCTGAAAAGTAGCATCTTAACTTCTTTATTAAAAATTTGTTATATTTGAACCATAAATGACAAAAAAAAAAAAAAAGTTGTACAAATCGAAAAATAATGTTATGTACATTTAAAAATTAGAAGACAAACTTCCATAATCATCTTTATTTTTTACTCTCCCTCTGCCTACCTGTGTGTCCGGGTAGCTCTCGGGTGACACGCACGTTGCCCTCACGGGTCTTCAGGCTGTATATGGAGCAGATATTGTCAAGACCTCCACAGGCCACGTAATTCCCAGAGGGGGCGTAGGCGCATGTCATCACCCATGACGAGCGCAGCGGGATGGCATGCATCTGTTTGGGAGACAAGATGTTTTCCTCAGTTTTACAAAATGCAACAGGGGTCCACGGTTGATCAGATGTTGGCACTGCAGTCTCATAATCCTGAGGCTGTGGGTTTGAGCCCAGATTGCATCAGGAAGGAGATCCGGTGTAAAACGCATCAAGTTTGCTCACTGAGGCAACCCTCGCAGAGGTAAGCAGCCAAAAGAATACACAAATTTATAAAATGCAATACTTCACCTATCATTTTGGTTCAATCTAAAATTTCTGTAAAATCAAACCATTTCCAACATTCATTCGACCTTTATTTATTCAGGTTAGTCCCATTGAGCCTCAGGGACTCATTTACAAGAGAGACCTGAACATAAATGATTGAATGCGTTACCTTATTTGTTGTGTAGCTGTCCCATATGATGAGCTTTCCATCTTGTGAGGCACTGACAAGTAACCTAAAGACAAGTTAAGAAGAGCAGCATGACAGTCAGCTCATGTATGAAACCTTCATCTACACCACATGCACCTTGTTTATTAAAGCAAAAAGAGGCAGCCATCTTACAAACTGCAGTGCTGCATCATCAGCCTAAATCATTACAAGGCGTTCAGTCAAAAAGCATTCAGCGTGAGCTACCCTTTCCTTCCCAGAAGACGACCTCACCCAAGAAAGACACTTTTAATGTCCCACCCTGTGGAATATTCAATATGCAAGTTGAGTAAAAGTCCTCACTGTCAAGTGGGAGGTGGAAAGCTGTCGGATTGGGAAAACACAAGAAAAGCCAAGTGAGAATTCAAAAACGGTAAGAGTGAGGTTTGTAGATGGGTCAAACAGCAGGAACCTCCCCTCCCATCCTGACAGGGTGTTTCTGTCTCTCCAGGGACAGGAAGTGGTTTGATGGTGCTGCACTACAATCAAGAGGAGCACCATCACGCTCAAATGTCAGGGGCTGTATACAAAACAAACACTGGTACCCCTGGAGGGTCACCTACAGGGTGCTTGGCACACCCATGCACATCTACAACCAAGAAAACAATAAGGACTGAAGAGCAGCTGGAGCTTCCTCTACAAACCAAGTTAATGTTTGTCATTAACTACTGTCGATTTATATATAAAAAGATACACCTTACATCAATTACATTTGCACACTGCCTTTGAATCTTTTAGCATTATATTTTAATACTGATTTGCCCTGCACGTGTATCCATCAATCAAAAGTTTTAGGGAGTTATCTTAATAAAAAGTTCCAGTACAGTCAGCTGGGTACCAAACTAGGTGACTAACATCTCAAAAGAAACAATCGGCAACTCTGCAGCTCTTTATTCTACCTGCCTTTCTGCTTGATGATTGAACTGAATAAAGATGTACTTGTACTGCTACAAGAAGCTGAAGGGACCACAAAAAGTTTTTGCACTGCTCAAATGCTCCCTTTTGTCTTGCATCTCTGCATCTCCGACGTCTGCAACCCATAGATTAGTGAAACTGAAGAAACAAAAGCAAACTCTTAAGTAAAAATATGTAGAATGATGAATAAAGAATAGAAAAAGAATGGGGGGGGGGGGTGTAATTTTTTTTGCCATTGTTCTAACACAATCCAACTTCAGAAAGTTTTCCTGCAATATCAAATTTATTTTCCGTGAAACAGAATTCGTGCACTGCATGCAGACTTACAGTGAAATACCATCCTAGCTACTATTTTTCAGCTATCTTGGTGCTCATAATTGCAGTAAACCTTACAAAAAAAAAGCAGTTCTTAAGATCAAATTATTGCTTAAATCTAGAGTTGCTTTGTCTTAAATTTGCAATAGATTCAAAACAGTTTTTAATGGTTGAAATCTTAAAAACTGCATTTTTTTTAAAGGAAAATAAGCTTGTTGGTTTTTGTGCCCGGCAACTATCACTACAGTGCTTGTGGTGAGGGCATCAAACACTGCTAGTGCTTAAAGATTAGGTGGTAGTAAAAGGTGACAGTCATTTATGGTAATATTAGTCATATTAGTAGAAACTGTTGTAATAGTAGAACTGATAGTGTAGCCCCACACCTGGGACTGTCGTCACTGCCCCATTGTATCGCATTGAGAAACACGTGGACAAATAAAAAAAGAGTGACACAAACAGATCATTAAACATACAAAAAACTTTTATATGAACGTTGTACAGCAAACTTGTTGCAGCGGTTAATGTTGTGGTGCTCCAGCTGCACCAGGAGTAGTTTAAAACTAACACTTGGCTCTAACAGACAATTACAGCATGTGTTCGTGTACATTTATTTTAAAATACTGTTGTCAAAAGGTGCTTCCAGCTTTACTTCTTTTTGTTGTTGAAGACTTCCAGAAAGACTAATTTTGCACTTTTTATTCACAAAATAAAAAAGGTTTGATTAGCATCTATGGGATTGAGGGGAAAAAAAGGATGTTATAGATCACACATACATGCTATGGCAGGTAGAAAATGGCATCAAAAACCACATGATATCAAAACATATACCAGATTTGACAGAGTGTAAGATTTCTGCAGGTGTTTGTCAGTTTACAAATGGGTCTACAAAGATGACAAAGTAGGAGCAAACCAGAGAACGTAAGTCCAAGGACATTATAAAATACAGTAGTCCCTCGCTTCTTCGTGGTTCGACTTTCAGTTTTTCCAACGATTGTCAACTTTAATATTACTCACGTGACTGGGGCGGTACAGGATAAAAAGTAAAAAAATAAAATAAAAAAAACTTCAGCCAGGCGCCACCATTTTGTTGTCCCCCCCGCAAATAAGCCTATACTGTAATGCCAGTCAAAAGAACTACACTACCCAGAAGCCAACAGTGCTTCCGGCCGCTACTTTCTGCTGGAATGGAGGGAAAGTTTTGCAACGCAAAGTCAAGAGTAACAATCCATCTATTAAGCTCACAGAACTGGCAGGAAAGTTGCAAGTAATCCTAAAGCTTCCTGAAGCTCAATTATCCACGCGCACATCAACCTGGACGGGGCGGTGGGCTTCGTCGCTGCAGGGTAGGTCTGCAGAACTGGAAATGAACCTGACTGGAACAGAGCTGCTGGTCTGCAGAGCTGGTGAGTACAATTTTGCAGTACTGTACAGTACGTATACGTATATTGTTAAATTACCTAGGTTTAAGAGTTTAGAACTTTGCAAGAGTGTGGGAAGGGTTTATAAAGACTTAAAATATATAGAAATACTCAAATAAAGTCAAGTCAAGTCACATTTATTTATATAGCACATTTAAAAACAGTAACTGTTATCAAAGTGCTTATCACAAATAAACAGTGTTCCTACTTCATGGTTTTTCACCTATCGCGGTCGTGTGTGGAACGTAACCCCCGCGATAATAGAGGGACTACTGGACCCAAAATAAATAAATGTTGTGCAATTTATTTTTAGCTCCTCCAGCTAAAAGCTTGTGATTGAGGATCCACCACTATGAAACAGTTTCCAGCATGAGCAGCTTGACTGGTGACCAGCAGATCAGGTGCTCAAAAATGAAAGTTTAATTTTAATTTTCCCGGAACAGACCATAGCAAAGCATGAACTCCCACTAGCACAGCATTTTTTTTTTTTTTTTTTTTTTGAGAGTTGGGGTCAACATTTGCAATTATCTGAAGGTGTTTAACAATAAAATCAGAGGAAGCACAGGAAGGGTAAGAGGCTACTTAAAGAAAACTGCTTCTTTCATAGTGGTAAACACACACACGTCTGCTGCTCATTACGATTGTGTAATAAATCAACAGTACCTGGAGTCACTCCCCCAGTGCATTGCATAGATTTTGGCCAGGTGGCCCCTGAGTGTACGTCGCGTTCGCATCTGTATCCGGCCCACCGAGTCCAGACCAGCTGTGATCTGCCAAAACAGGAAGAAGCGTCAGCAGTTACACTTGAGGCTGAGACACATTCATCACAACTGGACACAAGCTGAGGCAGGCACAGACCAATATAATAAACAAGGAGTGGGGATGAATAAAAGTTGAGCCATTACTGATGCAAACTATGTGTGAAATATTTAAATAACTTTAGGAACTGTGCATTTTGTAAGTACTAACAAAGAATGGAAAGCATTGAATTAATTTAGTGACAAACTTGTGTCCTAAAAATGAAGCCAACACAAAATGTAGGCCTGTGAAAGAAGGGTTTTTAAATATTCAAACTTTACCATGTGTATAGGAAGTTTCTTACCTGTGAAAGAGTTGAGTCGCTGCAGGCTTTCCTGGCATCCTGCAACAAGAGATCGTTTCAAACGAGACAAAAAAAAAAAAAAAAAGAGAAGAAAACATTAAAGCCATTTGCTTTTGTCATAAATATTTACTAAAGAGACTGACTATTTGACAAGTTTAATAAATTTCTTGAATACAGATTTTGCTCAAAGGGTGGAAGTTGAAAAGTTGGTTAAAACATTAAGTTGTTGTCGTACCTGGATCTGATTGCGTAGTTGCTCTGCTTCCTGACGCAACTGTTCCAGCTCACTCATTGTCCCTGTGAGATGTGTTCAAGTTGCACTCCAAACGCTGGCTGGGCTGACAAAACACACGTGCTTCCACGCACACACACACGCGCACACACACACACTCACCCACGCACACACACAAACCACCAGCTGAAACCTGCAAGACAAAGATAGAAATACTTTTAAGTTCAACAGGTAGAAAAGAACAGCAACACTTACATCACACAAAGTTATCCTGTTTGGGTTTAGACCAAAAAAGAAGTGTACAGCGCAAAGAGGACAATGCTGCGCACCCCCCACCCCGGGAATGGTGGAACAGGGTAGCAACTTGAAGGGTGGTCCAGTTCTTCAAACACTCTGGTTCAAAAGGCCATCTGAACTGGGCTCTGACCTTTTCTCACTCAATCAGCCTTTTGTGTTGCGCTGTGCCGTTTGTGCAGCCCACATCTGTGTGTGTGTTGAATGTCTGCGTATATGGTGGGCAGGTTTGAATGTTTTATCAGGCAACATGTTCAAGTGATAAAGAAGCCGTTTGTGCATTATGTTTCTCTGTGTACGAGTACATTACGTGAGCGTGTGTCTGGGGTCAAGCGTGTCAGATGAAGCGTTTGTTTGCAGAAGCATGCATGAGTATTTATGCGTGTGACACGTGCCACTTCCTTTACCTAGGGAACCTGAATATGGGTCACAGCGCACTTAAGACACTGCTCCTCAGAAATGTTTGGTTTGCCACATCTACCAGTCTAACCCTTAGAATAAAATTTTAGTTCCACTTTCCATAATTCAGCAATTAAACCAACCTACAGGAAAACATTTAATGCAAAAAAAGAAAAAAAAAAATCAATAGATGCATGTTTTGCCATTTTTTGCATTTAAAAAACCCCTTCACAAACAGCATATAAAGAAAATCTGATATGTACGGTACTCTGAACTACCCTTTAAAACCCTTGGTCTGTTAGTTTTGGCCACTGTCCTGCCCCTCTGACACAAGCGAGGACACAACGGGCTGCTCGTTGTGGACTCACTCGTCTCGACTCTGCATTGCAATGCTTTCATCTGCCCAGGTGTGACGTCACGCTCTCCTCCAGCTGACGCAATCTGCTGAAAGAGGAGGCTTACTCAGTCTGCACGAGATGTGCTACTACTCCATGAGAGCTGTCAGTCTGTTGTGCTATACATCTCTGTCTCCACCACATCACACTGGGTGCCTTGTGGACTGCACAATGCTTTCCATGACCCCCAACACTTGACGAGTGGAGCGCACGGCTTGTGTTATGAAATGCAATGTATTATTAAAGAGATTATGGAGGAAATGGATGGTAAAGCTGAAATGAAATGGTGGCGTCTAGTTCGGAAAAAAAAAAAAACATGTGAAATCACATTTATAGACATTAGACACACTTTGACTGTAAATATACTCTGAAACCAAATCAGCTTATTTTAAGAAATCACACCAGCAGTATGAACGAGCCGTCAGGCAGATAAATGTCCACGAGAAAATGATACATTTATAGTATAAAAATATATTAAAGTTAGTATTTTATTAATAGAAGTGAGATTTGATGCATGGAACAAGTCAGGCCATCCAACAAAAGTACAGGGCCTGGCATTGAACCCTATGTGACAAAGACGGAGCAGTGTGCCAGACTTGCGGCTGATACAGATTGAGCGGCCAAAGAAAGGCAATGCTGCCGTTTATACTGAAAACATCTGACAATATACATTAATCAGGCTTTTTTTTTTTTTTTTTT